AAAGGAACTCACATCACAATCACATTGTGCTCTCTGTCTCTGCCTCTGCATGAAGGTGTCTTGTTGCAGCCTTCTCAACGGTGCCTCGATTCAACTCAAATGATGATTTCCTGCTGTGTTAAAACTGGCAACGGCGGAGCAGGACACGCAGACAGACGTGCGGGTCATTTCTGACTTGTCTTTCTGCACTCCTCCCCACTCCGAGGAGTTAATTAGCTTCGAGAAATCGGCCGCAGAGAGAGAGCAGTGAGGGCCACGGAGACGGCAAAGTGAAAAGCCAGAGAGCGGAAAAGAGAGAGAGAGAGAGATGAGGAGGGAGGGGTGGCCAAAGATCAGAGGGAGATGTTTGGGAGAACGTGAACGGCCATGGAAACTGCAAATGCTGCTGAGGGGAGGAGGGAGAGCGGGAGGAGAGACGGGGGGGTAAACCCTCCTTGTCTGTCACAGCAGTTTAAACTCATTAGCGGAGCTCTGCTTTTGAAGTCCTTTATCTCCGGCGGCACGTTTCACAGGACAGACGGATAAAACACACACACACACACACACACACACACAAGAGACACACAAAGACGCTTACTTACATTTTAAAAGCACACACAGAGAGAAATAAATAAATATAAACCTACTCAGATGCATCACCTCACAAATCCCCCACACTAATCATTCCTATTCTCACAGTACTCGTCTAATTATATAAGCAACGGCTCCTTATGTAAGCTGCTTCCTCTACGACTGACTATCCATAATGCATGAAGTCTTATTTGGTTCATGGTGACACATCCTACCTTCCTCCACAGACTCGCCTCCTATCTGGGAGTACGAATAAAAAAGGGCCGAGAAGAAGATGTAAAAGAAGGAGAGGAAGAAGCTCATGCAGCTGAGCACACGGATGCTCATTTGTGGAACCAGCTAACTTGGTTTCTATATTAAATTGGTTTGCTTTTTCAGTTAAACTATATGTACTCAAGAGCCTAAAGGTGGAAGAATCCCTTTTATGTATAATTACTATGGATCAAATGTCAATCTATATTGTGAAAAGGGAAACTAAGATAACTATTTAACTACTCTGGCTTCCCCTCAACAAGAGGAACTTGAAAAAAAGATACAGTGTATAGTTTGCTTTAAATCGGCTAAATCAATTGCATTAGCATCAATAATGGATTTGACTTACTACAAGTGAAGGCAGATTCGCAGCCATTCTGTCAAAGGTTTGTTAACAGTCACACAGTTCTTTGGCTGATTGAAAGAGATGTTTCAAACATCCGAGTGAACAGTTTCAATTTGCAATGTTTTGCCAACAATTGCCGACGCGGCTGGAAGAGACGGCCACCAACTTTCCCGAGTTGTTCAACTAGAACAGGTGATGTACATAACGTACATGTACATCACATTATAAACTCATAACGTATTGTTAGTGGACACACTCAGCAGCCACCGCCGGGGGTTAATGGTAGTGGAGCTATCAGCGAGCCAAACTGAAAGGAGAGTAAATATTAAACTTGCATCTGTCATTGTGTCAAAGACACGACTCCAGACGAACGCTGCAGGATGTTGCTATTTGTTTGATGGCTCTTTCATTAAGGAACTGCGCGCCAACAACAATCCTCACTCTCATTAGCAACTGGTGGATAAAAAAAACAATTAACGCTCGGGCTGTAAATTGCCAGACATTAGGGAATCCTCTTAGGTTTTTGTACCAAACTGCCTTCACAACAAAGCCGAGGAAGCTCATATTCTCTATCGTGCCGAACAAAGTTGTGAAACTGCAGTGGTATCATAATAGTTGTTTGGTAACAAATGAAGTCATTAGGTCTGCACGGCGGTGAGAATACCGCCGTGGTAGAACTGTGCCGTGTCACACGCTGGAGAGTCTTTATGTGTCTCTGTGAGACGGAGCCCTCAAGGTGCGTTTGTTCTCAGCGGGGAAAGCAATGAGCCTCACACTGACTTTCCACAGCCCATTTCCCCAAAAATGTATTTATCGTGATTTAGAAATGAAAGTGCTTTTTTAAGAGTGTCTTAGGGACAAAAGGCAATTTATGCGTAGTCTGCGAAAACCAGCCTAGCCGTAGAATTCAAATTACCTTTTTGATGATTTGGACGGCACTGTTTTGACTTTGATTTGAAAGAAATCAAGCAATCAGCAATAGATTATATAGATTAGGGTAGAGTAGGCAAAAAAATGAAAATGAAAATGAAAAGAGAGAATGTTAAGAGGGAAATACCACCAGAGGAGAAATTACATGAGGAAGGACTATAACTGTGCTGATTCCCGTTTCTCGTTAAAGAACAAGATGTAAGTGACAGCTCGGAGACGTTACAGACTGTCAACTCTAATGAAACTATGTCTTCCATCACGAGTGGCTCTGTAAAAGGGTCGAGGGTTGATTTAAACCACTTGTCGACTTTTGGATGCATTGCCATTGCTGCCATGGCTATTGACTCCTAAACCTGTGTTTCAAAGCTTTATAATACAAATCACTTCTGCTGAAAAATCCTTTGTTGTAAAATCCTGAGAAACTGTGTTCATGCAGTGGACCGCTGTAATACATCTACATTTATCCTCTCTTCAAATATGAATTCCTATCATTTCTTTTTAGGGCTGTCCACCAAATACACTATGGTTGGTTTTTAGTTTTACTAAAACTAAAACGATTTTGATGACAAATTGGTAACGGATTAATAGACGAGTCAGAAAAACTGAGTTTATCCACAAAGAACCACATAAAAGCATCACTTTAAATGTTGCATTTTCCAGAAATGTAGAAGACGTCATCCAGCATGAAAAAGCATGAAGAGCCACTAGTAGACTAAACAGCTAAATGAATAATCCATCAAAGGAAAATATTAATGGCATGGTTAGACACAGATCAATTTTATTGGTCAATACAATATTTGTCCCCTAAGACGTTGCAGCAATGCAGCTTTTTAAATGATTTTAAATGATTACTTCTTGTATTCATAACAGAAACAATGAACATTTCTAATTCAAGACAACGCTGAATTATTGACTGCAGCTTAGCCAAACATGGTGTGTGAAGAAGAGTCATCAGAGGAGGAGAGTAATGAGCGGTACGCTCTGTAATGATCCCTCTGAACATCTCTTCTAATGGTCTTTCATGTTCAGGCTTAATTTTATCCACAGAAAATAAGCAGTTGCAATGTTTGCACAAAGCAGAAGGAAAGAATATATGCACGTAACGTATCAAATCATGTAGAAATGATTACAACCAAAATCCACCTCCTATGAAGTAGACTTGAATGGACTGGTTACGACGGTCTTGGTTGCTAAAATGATGGTGCTACAATAAAAAGACACCACACACTATTTTCACACACGAACATATCTGAACTAATATAAGATATAATTCAATAATCGGCGCCATTCAGATTTTGTCAGACAATAGCGATGAGAGAGGGTTGCTTATGACGATGGAACGATGCAGAAGAAAAAACCGATCTAAACGTGGCGACAGACCGTGTTTTCTCGACAAACCGAGAACGGCTGAGGCACACGGACAAAGAGCATCAGTCAATTATTCACCACGTCTTGCAGCCATCCATTACACTGCATGTATTATACATCGCGTGGCCGGCAACATGCCACGCAAGCCCCCTCGGCAGCTACTCGGCCTCTGGTGGAGGAAGAGAGGCTTCATGCAATACCTCACGTAACACACGCGTGCACACACACGGGCGCTCTAACAGATAACAACATGATGTACGGCTGCTGCCAGCTCCTTCGCACCGGTCACACAGGTACAAGCGCCTACCACAGAGAGGACACGCTCACATACATATCAGCATCACCAGCACTCATCGCCACAGATACGCAAACCGCAGCCCACTCAGCCGACATCAACAGACACACAACTGTGACGCCACTGAGACGATCCCGGTGGCGTTTTTGCCGTGTTCGTGTTGCTGCGCAATGAATTACATTGTCAGCCCGTCAGTCATTACGCAGCTTGGATATGTGTTTATGTCTATGCTTCTCCTCTATTTGCCGTGGGATTTGTGACAGCGTTCATGGTCCCCCGAGGATAAAGTCTATTGATACATACGATCCACTGGCTTCTTCTCTAGCTCCATCGAGAGGTTCGCTTTCTTTTGTGTGAAATGTCTCAACAACTATTGGATGATTGAAGAGACATTTTGCACTGATATCCATGGTACTCCAAGGATGAAATGATTGCTGGGACTTGACCACTCTGGTGACCCCCTTTGACCTTTTGAACAGCACCACTAGCACAAACAAAAACCTTTTGATTATTCAGTAAAATAACATTGATCATCGATGATGAACCCTGATGTCTTGATGATGATCTGCTGACTTTTGCCCAACCAACATCATGGGGTTGATTCAAACAATCATGTTCCCCTCAGGAGGAATTGTTATTACTTTTCTACAATCCTGTACATTTTGATTTGTTGAATTCTAAATATATGCTAAGTTTATTTATTATTTATTTCTAGTCAGCTAACGCGAGCATGGTAACATACTAAACGTAGATTGTGAAGAAAAGATTAAACCTGCTACACATACAACATGTGAGCATGTCACTGTACTTGCATTTACATTTGGATAAATCACTTGTTGAACTTCTCTCTTTTTAACATTTTATACACTGTGGTCGAGTTGACAGACAGCTGTACTCTTAAGTTTACGTTTTTTTGCGATTTAGCTGATGCTTTAAACTAGAAAGCTTTGCAGTAAGTTGGCTGCGTCAGGGACACTTTATAATAAATAGTATGGTTATGAGGGGAAATGGTGAACAACACTAATGTCCAACGGGAAAGATTCTTGAAAAATGCCTCCTTCAAGTCTTTACTTCACGATATTTCAAAGCCGTTGATCATCTTTTTACTCTTTCACCTTACTGCACATTTGACTGCTGTGATCGCAGTGATTGATGTATTTTCTTTTACAAACAAAATGTTCTATGGTTGCACATGTGGTTGAATGCAACAGTGATACTGTTACTGGTGAGCAGACTCACCTCCATGCTAGTGAGATTACAGCGGTGAGTCCCAGCGAACCAGCCGCTGCTGGAGCACTGGTCGATGTCCACATCCTGCAGGTTCACGTCCACACGAATCACACCCCTGCCAGAGAGAGAAAGGGGGAGGGAAGAGGGGAGGAAATAAGGAGAATGGGAAGGATTGATGAGAACAGTTGGATGAAATAGTGAGAAAATCCATATGGATATCGGTGCCAAGATAGAGAAAAAATATAGTGGAGCCACAGAAATGTTATAAAAGAAGGATGAGAGAAGAGGATGGAAATGATGAAGAGGGCCAAATTAAATTAGGTTTGGGTAAGAATTAAACAAAGTAAAAAAAATGACATTACAAAATGAAAAGATTGGATTAATGATAACAAATAACACAGGAGAGACCGTAATATAATGTAGAAAGGAGTCATGGGAAATGTAATATGTGAGTAAGAAAAAAAAACGGGAATGTGGAGAGGTGACACAATAGTGTGAGGTCGAGCAGATCAGTGTGACGGGGGGGGGGGAGGAAATGGAGACGGAGAGAAAAAGAACGGAAGAGAAATAAATGATCAAGAACGAAAGAGTGGCGCTCAGGGGAAGTAAGGTCAATGGTGGACGAAGCAGCGAACGGGACGATGGTTATAAAGAGGAATGAATTTAACAGATGGGATTCGGAAAACGGAAGTAAGAGTGATGGAGGTGAAAGAGAGGAAAATAGAAGCAAAGAAAAAAGGAAAACAGATTTCAATCAACACAACACATACAACATCACACTATCCAACAGCAGACATTCGAAATGCACTGAGAGATATATAACGGTTAAATGGTTTAAAAACAATTTAGGTTTCCTCTTGCTTTTTAGGAAGAAAAGAAAAATTGTATTCTCATTCTCTTCGTTCTTAAACCTCCATAAACACAATATGTTGAGCAACGTTACTGTTTAAAGGAGATGCTTTATCACTGAACACTGTTTCTACGTTGTTAATGTTGTTAGGTTACGGACATGGGGAGACGTGTAACGACCGCTTCCCAAGGAGCCGGCCCAATATTTTGCACCAGCTGGCCTGAATCTCTCCCTCTCTCCGTAAACGCCAAGCTGCTCTCAGCGAAGGGGCTCAGATAAACCCACTGAACACCTGCCGACCACCAACTGCACAAAAACAAAGGTTCCGACAAACTGGTGAGCATAGTTGAGCAGCTATGGGGCCAGATATTTTACTGGGGAGATGGAGGAGACCAAAACAGAGCCAAAAGACGAGTGAATATGGAACTTGAGTTTACCACAGTTATCCAGAAGTCCAAATGAAAAAAAAAAACATTGTCGCTTGATGTTAGATTCTTATAGAAAAGTGTTTCTGCTTTCTAACCTGCACCCGTAAAACTAATGAAGGATTGAAGGGGTATAAAACCAGACATATTATTAGAGATATTGATTAAATACCTGCATCCAGTGCAAATCATTATGGAAGTAACTTGTCTTTGATTTGTGTTTCAATGTAAACGTTTAAAGACTTCAGTTAGACTTGAATTCTCTACTGTTCACCAACACTGCCACCATAAGGTGTTTTCACACCAAACCTGAAAAAGATTCTCACGTTTCCTCTCCGCTTGAAAACCCAAACATGTCTGCAGGACGTTGGCACAGTTCAAGACTCGTTCCTGACTTAAGTTCCCTTAAGCTGTTGACATTAGAGTTGATCTACTGGGTGTAGCCGAACGTGGTTCATCTTTCCCTCTCCCCCCTCTCCCTCACATATCCACATGAAAAAGCATGCTTTGTCTCTATGATTTTCATCTCATTCCCACATTCCCTCTTTCCTCTCTCTCCCTCTCTCTCTTTTTCGGTCTGCTGGGTGAGTCCGACACCACCAGCCTGCCTGGAAGGGGAACAAACAAGCATGGAGAAAGGCTTCGGCACCACCAGCTGTCCTCAAGTACACAACCACAGAGGCAAATGTATTGACACCTAAGTGACAACACATTTTGAGCTTCACAAATCAAAATATGGACATAATGATTCGGTTTGCAGAAACAAATGGGCTCTTTTCTGTGGTGCGAAAGCCGCTATCAGAACCAACTGCACCGGACAAAGACTGAGGTTTAAATTGGCCTTTGAAGGACAGAGAGAACAGGAGGGGAAAAAAAGATGAGAACGATGTTGCTTTGAGGCAGAGAGTATCAGAGATAGTGGAACTATCTACAGCGGCTTATGCTCTGTTCTCAGCCAACCAGCCTCCTATTTTTAGAAATGTCGCCACAGGACCGAGATGAGAGGCGGAAGTCACATAAAGTTGCGGACCACAAGCCACTTTATAAGAAGTGGAGTGAGGAGGAGAATAACATAAATCCAGCTCAGTCGTATAGTTATACTCAATTAACGAGTGCATCACTTTATGAGTCTGATCTTAACCGACCACTTTAGCGTGTTCCCTCTGCTGACATCCGAAAAACTCAATCTCCTCTTTCTACATTTTTCTAGAGCTTTCAACTATTTGAAATGGTTTTCATCAGATGACACTTTCTACTCGGCTGTCCCCAAGATCGATCTGTTGACATGCAAGCCCAGTGTTATGGATTCATAAATGATGAATAAAAACTAAACTATAACCTGTCCGGAGCAGCTGGTGGCTCCGTCGCGAGCTTCACAGAGGGGACTGTCTCTGTAGCAGGTAGTGATGTAGCACTTTGCTTAGGGACATGTCAGCAGGGTGGATGCCTGCAAGGCCCAAATCCGTAGCACTCTGTATTTTATAAATTCAATTTGGATCAATTTTACTAAACATATGCATGGTGTTTGTGAAGTATTTGTGGCTTCAGAAAATGAAAAAAATGTTTGTGCACTTAATCATTTCTGATAGAATTGGACTGGCCATCTGGGAGATACATCTCCAGACAGCAGTAAGGGTTTAATGCACCTGTATTTCAGAGTGTTGTCGTAACGCAGCGCGTGATCCTTCATTGTTATTGAATTAATTTAGATTTTTCTTTTTACAGGAGATCCTTGGTTGGTTTTATGCACCTATAGCATAAGCACACAGATGGCCACTTTACCCTCCACCAACACACGCACTTTGCAAAGCTTGCAGTGCTCATTAGATGCAGAAGAGAAGCGCAGCTGTGCTTTGACAGGTGAGCATATTCTATGAAAAAGGTCTACCTGTGTGCGAAGCCACTTTTGCACCACTTTTGCACCATCTGTTTCTTGCATCGATCCTTCATATCATGATCAAAATTTACATTTAGCCTCACTGAGTATTAATACAAAATAGTACATGACTGTTGAGTGAGTGTAATGTTGTGAACACCTATATTCGCCAAATGACACTGCATGCATCTTTAAGCACAGACTGCATATAGTTTTTTTATTTTTACATACACACGCGAACCCCCCTCAGCTCACCTGAACTCTGGTGCAAAGTCGCTCTTCAGTCCATAGAAGCCAGCAGACAATGTGAGCAGCCAATAGGGCACAAACGCCCCGTGTTCGCACTCCAGGTACGGTGCCGACCACTTGATCTGGTTCTTGTCGAGAAGGTAACTCCCACTCTTCGTGCCCGATAACTCCGGGACTCTTCTGTGCATGTGTGGTCTCCTGCCGTCCCTGAAATCATTGAACCAGTCCGACTCCGGGCTCCTGCTCCTCAGGTAAGGGTGCGCGGAGCCGGTCAAGTCCTGCAGCACCACCTCCTTCTCCGTCCTGGTCGCCTGGAGGAAAACGCTCGGGCCCTGCGTCGGTGCGTCCGCGTGGAACGTCACCACCGCCCTGTGGATTTTGGGGTCCCCTTCGAGGATACTCTGGACCAGCGCGTGGTACCAGTGCACGTCCCTCCGCGAGGTTTGCTCCCGGGACCTGTTGGCCTGAAGGATCATGTTCAGGAGGTTTGTGGCGTGCGCCACGGTGTCCAGGATGCTGTGGAGGGAGTAGTGGGAGGCGACGTGCAGGCCGCCTCGCAGGCTGCTAAGCTCGTACCTCCGCGAGCAGTTGACCTGCCTGAGCGCCGAGGAGTCCCCGGAGTGCAGGAACGCGGTCACCACCCTCGGGAGGTCCTCCTCGATCTTGTGCGCCACCACCGCGCGGTCGGTGGCCGGCAGCGGGGAGTAGGTCGGGTGGTGGGGCGCCTCTCTGTTGATGACAGACGGGTGCTTCTCCTCCCGCTCGCTATCCGACCACTCCACGTACCCGTAGTTCGATCCCCAAACGAGCCCTGTCTGCAGGAGCAGCGGGACGACCAGGAGAGCCATGTCGTTCCGTTTTACAGGCACAGAGGAGAGACCGCGGGCACTCGGAGAAGTGTGGCGTGCATAACAAAAGCTACTCTGTTTATTCTTCGCTCAATGAGAAACACTTGAGGAAGCACACGTCAAAGAAAGGACGTCCTACATGTCGTACCGTTAAAGCGACGAAGCCTCTCCACTGACGGTCCTGTGCGCATTTTATCCGCGAAAACGCCGACTTTTCTTTTCCTCTTTCCCGTTTTTCTTACAGTGGCACTGTGTGATCGAAACACCCCCTCGGCCTCACAGCTCATTCAACAAATCCAACAACACTGACTCCTCATCGCCCCCCTTGTCCACCCAGAGGCGTAACGAGCGCTCGCAGTCTCTCTCTCTCTCTCTCTCTCTCTCTCTCTCTCTCTCTCTCTCTCTCTCTCTCTCTCTCGACTCCTTCTCTGAGAAAAAATCCACGTGCACGATGACAAGACGCGCAGCAGATTGTTCTCCAAGTCCCGTCCCTCCCAATATAACCCTAACAAGGCCACTTTTAGGTGTCGCCCACCGGTGCGTGCCAGTCTCCGGAGGTGGGCGGGGCGCGGGTGATACCGGAGCTGTCCGGTGCTGAAAGTAGCCGCCGTGGGAAAGAACCGTGAGGGCAGCAGGTGGCGGATCGAGGCAGGCTGCTCCTTTCGGTCGTCTTAAAGCAGAATAAAAAACATTCGTTTGAATGTGGGAGGGGGTGACAAAAAGCAACCACACAAGCCCGTGTTCACCTTATACCAACACAGTAAATCAGTTAAAAGCTGCTCAGCATTGTACTCAGTGAGCAAAGTGATTTTTACCACTTACTTTTACTCCCTATGTCACAGTTTGGGTTTATTTCCTGTCTTATTTTGTAGTTTTCTGCCTCTTGTCTCCCTGGGTAACTTCCCTTCCTGGCTTTTCCTGCACCTCCCTAGTATATTTAAACCACGTGTGTCTCATGTCACTTGTGGCTCATTGTTATTGTCCCATGTTGTACCCTCTGCGTTCCTGGTCCCCGTCTGCGGTTTGCCCCCTTGGCCTTGATCTTTTGGATTTTGACTATTAAAGTCTTTTTGTTTCCTTGAACTCTGCGTTTGAATCCTGCCTTCCCCGCACCCTGACATCCTAGCTTTGTATTTTGTGTTCTTTTCACCACTTGCTATTACTCGGTCATTCTGTTTGTTACTGTGTTATGCTTGTTATGGCCTGTCAAAGCACCACAGATTAACTGAAGCGTTAATCTGATACAGTGCATCAAATGGGGATGTTCATGGTTGAGCTGTACATTGTCCTTTTCAATAAACTATATTGGATTGAATTAACTTATCATATACGTTTTTGTGTGCAGTTTAGGAACCAAAGTATGTTGAAAGCTTAACATTCCACATTAGAGATGTTGCCATTTGGTTCCTAAAACTATCCATGTTTTACTTTACGGTTTCCCTCGAAAATCAAGCATTTTAATACAGCATCCTGGTGTGCTGTATAGATAATAAAGCACATTGAGTTTATTTATTTCCCGTACCACACCTCCCATTTGAAATGTAACAACACGCTCTGGACTACGCAACTGCATTTAAACTTTTACAGTTGATTTTGCGGTCAGCAACATTTGTATTTTGAACCTTAAATATACAGAAGATTTACAAAAATTGGAAATAAAATATAGCACAAGATGGCTCTTGGTATCTCTCACAACCTTCCACAGTTTCAACTTTGGAGACCTAAACTGAAAAGTGGCTGAATCTGTTGCGGAGAAGAATACCTTTTACTGACAAAATTATTCAGTCAGCAGTAAAGAGGATCGTTTGTTTTGTCATATCGTCCTCCATGATGGGTGAGCTGACAGAAGTATAGTGGCCGATATTGTAAGTTTATGTTCAGGAACTACAAATCAATACATTATGATAGCCATAATGCACACATAAAAGAAAATGGGAACAAGAGAAGTCAGAGAGACGACCATTCGTGTGACATCTGCCTCAGTGTTCATCTGCTGTTGATCAGTTAAACAAACAAACAAACAAACATTGATTTGGTGTCTGTCTCGTTTTGCTCATGAGGCTCATCAGGAGACAGCCTTGGATTTTAAATGGGCGTTGCGGCGTACTTCCGGCCCGGGGTGACTCCTGGGCCGTTGCCGTGGCAGCGGAAAGGTGACGACCGCAGAGGCCCCCCCCCCCCCCCGCTGACTGCTGCAGCAAGAAGTGAAGAAGGTAGCCTGTCCGGACCTGCAGCGTAAGATCTACAGTGTAAACCTCCCACACACATACACACCGACCAATCTGTTTCCAATCTATGGAGGTATATGTTCATAATGGCAGATAGCAAACGCTGATGATAGAACAGATAACACTGAGAAGGGATTGGCCCGAGAATCACTAGGAACTCGTTCATTCAGTTTGTACATTGGTTCAACGACTAAGCAGCCTCAAGGCTCCCATCCAAAAAGGGGTGTATGTGGCGAGGTGGTGAATTGGGTGGAGGAGAAGAGACGGTACCAAGCAGTGAGAGATCATCACAGGGAAGGAGACGAAAGACTGTAGGAAACGATGGCTCCTGCCCCCTCTATTTCATCTTCTTTTACAAGCTGCACTGCCTCCCCTGCCCCGATGAATATTTGATGGGCATTTGCTGCTTCATCTGCATGCTTTACAACTCGAGTCCATCTGCAACAGTGCATGAGAGACTGCCGTTCTATCACACACGCTATCTGTTCTCCCAAAGGTTCCTCATGAATTTCCTCAGAAAAAAGCAAAATACTCATGACCAGAAGAATATATTTCTTCTGGCTGTTTATTTTTAAACCACACCCAAATCTGAGCAAATGAAGAAGCTGTCAACAACATGAATGTGGGAGATTCTTTTAATCTTTGGTTGCTGTGCAGCAAGACTGTTGGAAGTTGCCTGCTGTCTTGGTTGATCCTCAGTTTATTGCATTTGGGTATTCAAGTCTCCATCTTTGACCATGCACCTGCGGATATTAAAAGGGTAACCAAGAGATGAAAATAAGAAAGATGTGATATTTTAAATCTTATTTTGTTCAGCAGAATTCTGAGTCAAATCGGCCATCTTTGTGGTCCTATAAAACAAACAGGGTATCAAGATTATAATTAAAATAGAAAAAAATAGGAAAATAGTATAAGTTTCAAATTGATTTTGTTACCAACGCTAATGCTCTGGCTGCCATGTTATCTGCAGTTGCCTAATGAAGATGAAAAACGGTATACATGCTGATTTCCCCAGGTACAGTTTGTCAAAGGGAGGACAGTTAAATCAACTAATGCTGGTTGAGAATGTTCCAAATGAGTTTCTTTGTTATGGTATCTGATTTTGGCAAAATACTTTGTTCTTTAGCTTTGGACAAGAGTCCCCTTTGTTATTAGAAAGTGAAATAAAGAAAAATACGAATATCCTATTACACATTTGCAGCCTGTGTAAATGCCAGTCAAACACTTTCACATGCAGGGAGAAAACCCATCAGGAATAATACCTGAGAACACATACATGATGGCTTGGTATTCTCAATCTGCATCTAAACCAAATGCAAGTATGATGTAATTGAATTTATAAATAGATAAGTCTTGCTATTGGTGATAAGGTCCTTCTATTGCCTGTAAATCATGGGGGTCCCTCATGACCCGGCCTCAGTTAAAGTACATTATTGTATGCAGCAGTTTAGTACGGTGTTAGTTCAATACTTGAGCAGCAGTTATTTACATACATACATACATACATACATACATACATACATACATACATACATACATACATAATTAAATCATATATCCAATTGCGGCTCTATCACATCAGCTCTGTTTGACGAGCATCGCTGCGTATAGGGTGGTTTATTATAATTACACAGCAGATGTTTCCACAGACGATAAGATAGGGTTAGGGTCACACCACATGCAGGAGTTGAGTGTGTAAATGACAATAAAAAATCTTTGAATCTTTGAGTGAATTCAGCTTTCGCAAACTCGTGTTTTTTTGAACGTCAATGACATGTGGCATTTAAGATAATAAAACATATTTCCACCAATCACATGAAGGTCGTACTCTCAATAACTTAATCACAACAGCTTTTGAGGGCATTTTGAGGGCATGCCTCATTGTCCATGCAGGAGTCAGAAGACATTCTGGGCCTTTGTCAATATCCCCAAAGAATTACACTGTGGAATGCGTGCGTGCATGTGTGTTCTCAAAGGAGGGGTCATAAATGATCTCCTACTATGCAAGCGTGAACAGGTGTGAAATCAACAACCTCCAGCTAAAATAGGCGCTAACTGCTGTGTACATCGTGTAGAATAAACCATGCTTTCACACAACAGACATCACACAAAAGTCTCTGTCTAACTGATTTTCGAGTTTACTCTTACCCCTATCGTTTTTATTGGACGGGATAAGATGTTTGCGCAGCTGGCACACAACGAGGTGTCACTGTGTGTAGTTTGCTGCCCTCTAGTTGTTGTTGCCCTCTAGTTGTTGCTTAAAATGAGACAATTGCCGCCAGGCGGTTCCAATTGTCTAATTTTAGTGTTATGAGTTATGTTTTATTATACGACGTAGCACAGGATCGTCCCTGAATAATACATAATGATAATACACACTACATTGATACTGAGGAATATTGCTAACGTTATACCACAGATGATATTGCACACAGATCTTGACCGCGTTGCTGTGTATTTCGTTATTTCCGATAGCACTCAGAGGTAGCATGATTGTGACGGTGCATGACGTCAGAGGAAGTGAATGTCAACTAGCATTTTTCCCTGCGCGACAGCGAAGTTACTTAACTTACACGCGGTGAATACGGTAATGTTGAAGATTTTACGTTTGACAATCCTTTTCAGCCATTTCAATTGGTTAGTTGTGGTAAAGGTTGTAGTCTGTGTGACATAAAAGTAGTTCGATAACGTTAAACCAAATCCTGCCGTTGCAGTTAGTATAGCTGATGCTAGTCGGGCCGTGCTAATAACCGTTTGCTAACGTTAGCTGCTTGGAAGGGTATGCGCAGAAGGCGTTCTGAATCTCGCGGGTTGTTACAAACAAAGACAATGGGATAATACAGAGTTTGTTCATTAACTTTATGCAATGTTAAGTTTATTCACTCAACGTGTACGTCAGCAATGCTTACTATTGCTAAAAGAATTTGCGCTTGGTGTGAGGATAATTGCCTTATCCAACGGTTACGCATACTGTAACTGGTAATTGCCTTATCCAACGGTTACGCATACTGTAACTGGTAATTGCCTTATCCAACGGTTACGCATACTGTATCTGGTTATAGAAGGTCGACACTCATTGTGTATATCCTTTTGACATTTCAGGGACATCATCTTTTGAAGATTGCCATATGGATTCTCCTCGGCAGGCGAAGAACCTGAATCGAGAACCAAAGCGCACTCAAAATCGGCCAAGCAATCCTCCCCAGAAAGATGCCTATGCCAGGCTCCTCGGCCAGCACCGCAGCAGCAAGTTCAGTCTGTATCTAGAGCAATACGCGAAGGACACAGAGTTTCAAAGGGAGGGAAATTGGCCGAGTCCCTCGCCAAAAGCCCAGAGTGACAGGCAGAACATACCACAGAAACAAAGGGATCAAGTGCCACATGATTTCTCTGATTCAAGTGACTTTTCCCCCTCTTCAATGAAACGTAAAGGAGAAGAGAGTTCGCTGTCATTGTACATGGAGAAAATCAGCACCCGCACTGCTCAGCAGGACTTTGAAAGGATGCCGGGTGTGTCTGACCGACAGCGATGCGGACAGAGAAGAGACACTGCCACCAGCCAAGATGGAGACGTGGAGTCTGGTGAGGAGCTTGGCTCTTTAAAACCCAATGAATCAAGGAAACACCAGAAGCAGCAGCGGAAAACCAAGGACTCTAACAAAGATGTTACCTCAAAAGAGACTGACTCATTTGTTGCACGTCCCCAGTCCCCAAATACAGCTGGTACAAGTGGACAGGAGCAGGAGAAGATGAAGAAGTCAAAGAAAAAAAAGGCTCATTCAAGGCAGCCAGAAGAGGACAGAAGCGGAGAAGCATCATTCCAATCTGGGATGGACACTCTGACGTCAAGGCCAAAGTCCCCTCCTGGTATAGAGAGAAAACCGCAGCAGCCAAGATGTAAAGAATTTTATTTTGATTTTAAGTCTCAGCAGGCGTTATATTTTATAATATTAATATGATGTTAAACATTTTTCAGCTTCAAGTGCCAATTCTCCTGCTGACAAGGGTAAGAACAGAGGAGCCAGGGGATCAAAGAGACCGGTTTTTGAATCCTACATGACATTTGAGGAGGTTTCCCGTGGTCTCAAAAGAGGAGAACTCCTTCAGGTAGAAACCCAGAAGTACTATATTACAATCTACAGTGCCATGCAAAGGTGTGGACTCATTTTCTCTTTGAATCATAGAGAAAATGAGTCCAAGATATTACACTTCCAAGATATTACACAAGGTGGTCAATTTATTAAACCAGTGAATATCACAATATTAGTGGACTCATTTCTGAATTCTACACACTTTCTCTGCAGGGAAAATTAAGGATCAACCCCAAAAAATATCATGACAGTTTCATCCCATCTCCTGTAAGTTCAACCCTAAATAAATTTCACAATTAATGTTTTATTGCCTCATCAACTCTCTGGAATGTTTTACGAATTCCCAGTCATGCAGGGGAGTCAGCAGTCTCTTTATTTTTGCAGGATGACAGGCGAGACGTATTTCTGGATGGGATTGTAGCTCGTAACAGAGCGCTGAATGGTGACATAGTGGTGGTACAAATTCTCCCTCGGGAGCAGTGGAAGGTAGACTACGCTTAAGTATCTGTGTACAATACAACTTTAAGTTGCATGTCTGGAGCTCTGTCTGTTTTAGGGCACAGCCAAAAACACCATGATGAGTATGTATTTGTGTATGTTTGTTTAGGTCGTGAAGTCAGATACTGATTGTGAAGGCACAAGTGAGTCAGACACCCAGAAGGAAAACATGGGGCCAACAGTGCAGAAGAGGACAACAGAGCGTACGCCCAGGCCTGCTGGTGTTGAGGATGACCAGTGCAGCGACCAGGACGAACTCATTCGCAAATTGCAAAATACCGCCCTCACTGACACAGGTACTGTTTTGAAATCTGAGTTATGATTGTAACAGCTGTTGCCTACCAAATCAAAATTGTTCCTCTCATCAAATAGAAATAGGCGAACATCTGGAAGACCCCTCAACCCCACGACCCAATGGGGAAATACTCCAGAAGACTGCTAAAGTGAGCGTCTCAGCTATTAGTTTTGCCATATTCTTTACTCGACCGCCCTTTTAAAAAAAATATTCACATAAAAATGACTACAAATAGCAGGGTTTATGCCTCAATTTCCCCCCAAGTCTTTAATTCTAAAAGCAAATTATTAAAAAATAGGCTGAACCGTCTTCAGCCTATTGACATGGCTGCAGGGGCATGTAGCCCCGTGTCTGCATTAACAATATTCCAAGGAAATCAGGAAAATATTGTCACTCGTATTCAGAATATTAAAGAGTCTTCTTTTTCTTGCAGGTGGTTTACATCGTTGAAAAGAAGCACTCGAGAGCCGTGACCGGCTTCCTGAAATTCTTACCAGACAAGCCTTTCGCCATGTTCTCTCCTGTGGACCACCGGGTGCCACGGATTAACGTTCTCCTCGCCGACTGTCCCGAAGACTTTAGTTCCCGTCCGGGCGACTACGCCAACACCTTGTTCATCTGTCGTATCACCAACTGGGCGGCCGACAGCAACTTTGCTGAAGGGTGAGTGTTTATATTCAAAAGTTGATGCGTGGAACCATTTGAGCAACCAAGCCGACTCTTTCCTACCGTGTTGTCCAGTCAACTTGCCAAGACGCTGGGTCAAGCGGGAGAAATCGAGCCAGAGACGGAGGGCATCCTCATAGAGTACGAGGTGGACTTTTCTGAGTTCTCAGATGCGGTGTTGAACTGTCTGCCCAAGAACCTGCCCTGGACCATCCCTGCTGAGGAGTTGAGTAAGAGGAGAGACCTGAGGTAACACATCTATATTCTGTAATGTATATCTGTGTCTGGGTGGGAACGCCACATGATCCAGCTTTGCACAAAAGGGGAAACGTGCGCTCTGTAGATTCCCATTGCCAGTGCATAACTGGGCTACTGAGAATTTCCATTCAATGGCAGAAAACAAGTATTTTTTGTTGAAAAATAAAGCACTTTTATGTATGGTTTGTAATCTCTGTATTATCATGCATAGGAAGGAGTGCATCTTCACAATCGACCCTTCTACCGCCAGAGACCTGGACGACGCTCTGTCCTGTAAACGGCTCCCCGATGGTAAACTGAAGAGCTCAGTGATGAAATTGAAATAATGATTTCTGATTTATAGATCCATGCACTCATGTGTCATATGAAGTTGTGTCATAGACTGTCTTTCGAAACACAGGTAACTTTGAGGTGGGAGTTCACATTGCTGATGTGAGCTACTTTGTGGGGGAGGACAACGCTCTGGATGCCGTCGCCAGTCGAAGAGCAACTAGTGTGTACATGGTGCAGAAGGTAAATGTTCCTTGACATTTATTTTTTTGAATATCCTAAACGAAATGAAGCAGCGATGAATGCTAATGCACGCACATGTCACGTGTTTTGTCTTGTCAAGGTGATCCCCATGTTGCCCCGGCTGCTGTGCGAGGAGCTGTGCAGCCTCAATCCTCTCACTGACAGGCTCACCTTCTCTGTCATTTGGACGATCACACCGCAGGGGAAGGTACGACCTTTGAAACAGGTTGATGGATGGAGCTGAAATTGTGATGCTGTCTTTTTTTTCGTTTCCTCACTGGTTCCACTTGGCCTAACTCCTCCCCACAGATCCTGAGCGAGTGGTTTGGCCGCTCGGTCATCTGCTCCTGCGTGAAGCTGAGTTACGACCATGCCCAGTCCATGATCGAGGCCCCTGAAAAGATGTTCGCTGCTGAGGAACTGCCCCCCGTGGACCCCATGCACCCCATTGATGAGATCCATCAGGCGGTGCTCAACCTGCACTCCATTGCAAAGAACCTCCGCGCCCAGCGCTTCACAGGAGGAGCCCTCAGACTGGAGCAGGTCAGCCTCCATTGTTTGACCTGTGTCGCTGTGGTAGTTTCCTTCCACTGTCTTTGTAGCTGGTGTTCATGCTTTTTTCTCGAGTTCTTCCAAGAGGATTAAAGATTCAACCAATACTATGAGTTTGCTAACATAATATAACCCAGTCCTACGTAATAGAAAAACGTATGGGAACAAGACTGATTATTTAATTTGTCAGCTTTACATAACTTTTTTTTTTTTTGTTTCAGTTGAAACTGTCCTTCACCCTGGACAAAGAGACCATGATGCCTCAAGGCTGCTACGTTTACCAATACAGGGACAGCAACAAGTGAGTGACGCATCCTCCCCTAACCCTTCAATCTTGTTTTGCTTCCCAAAAATGAAACTTCATTTAAGGTCACTGTACATACTCCACATCTCAATCATTCAGTGAATTATTTCTGGAGCTCTGGTCATTTTAACCAATGTATCGTTCAAATCTTTGTTTGGTTGTAGGTTGGTGGAGGAGTTCATGTTACTGGCTAACATTGCTACAGCCCACCACATCCACAAGAGGTTCCCCCAGATCGCCCTGCTCAGACGCCACCCTCCACCCAAGGCCAAAATGATAGATGAGCTGCAGGAGCATTGTGACCAGTTGGGAATCAACATAGATCTCTCCTCTGCAGGAGCATTGAATGTCAGTACTCGCAGTACGGCAAACGTAGCCCAGTTTCTTCTAATATCTCATAAAAACTAGAAGTTATATTTTGTGACTCGTTTAGTTTGTCCTTTTTTAGTGATAACATTTAAATCAGCATTAAATGCATTTTATTTAATGATTTTTACCGTTCTATGTAGGTAGTTCACTCGGGATCTGAAGCAACAAGTGACTGAAATATTATTCGCGTTACTAAAGTATAGATTGGTATTAATGATTTTAACCTTTCCTTTTCCGACATGCAGAAGAGTCTCAACACAAGTCTTGGAGATGATAAGTATACCAGTGCCAGAAAGGAAGTCCTCACCCACATGTGCTCCAGGCCCATGCAGGTTAGAGGCCCACCTTTTCTGCATCCATCTGTCAAGCTTGTGTGCAATACGTTTGCTTTTTTGTGTTTAATGGAAGTTTCTTAATGGGGGAAATTGGTTGATGCCATTCATGAAAAATGGGCCATCTTAACAAAAGGGGCAGGCAATTTGATCCAAAAGAATATTCAGAACTATTTGATCATTCTCAAGTTTCAAAAGCCTTTTTGTTTTGTCGGACTCAAATTGATTTAATACTTTAAAAATGTTTTTTTTTTTTACGAAACCTTTCCAGTGACTTTTCTGTAAGTTTCTGTATTCCATGTGGGATGTTGTTATTTTGCAGATGGCGTTGTACTTCTGTACCGGTGTTCTCAAGGATGAGCAGCTGTTTAAGCACTACGCACTCAACGTTCCTCTCTACACTCACTTCACGTCCCCTATCAGACGCTACGCTGACATTGTTGTCCACCGGCTGCTGGCTTCTTCGCTGAGTGAGTAAAGTCTCACATTTAAATAGAACACGGAATGTCCCGCTTGCTTCGTACAGTGTTGCAGTTGTATTGAATTGAAATGCACAAGAGAACAAAGACGCCTGAGGTCTCATTGGGTGGAAGCATTGTTGTGTGTGTGTGTGTGTGTGTGTGTGTGTGTCCATTTGAAATGTGCCTGGTCTTTTCCAGTACTCATTATGTGCATTGACTGTTTACCTGCAGATTGTGGGCCTAGTTTGGGGCTGTCAACAGAAGAAGTCGAAAAACAGGCATCGCACTGCAATGACAGGAAGACCGTGTCCAAGCGAGTCCAGGAGCTCAGCTCTGAGCTCTTCTTTGGAGTGTTCGTAAAGGTCGGTGGCAAAAGCATAGCTGGGGCACATACGTTCTATATTTGTTCTATAACGTTAGATGCATATTAAATACACATGTATTGAAAGGTGCTTCATATTACTCAGTGTTTTAGAGTAATATTGTGGTGGGCTTTGGTGCCGGGTGAAGTGATTTGAAACTTTTTTTTTTTTTTTCCCTCTAAAGAAAAGGGGTTCAGCAGTTAATCTGGATAATATACCTAAAATAAACCGGGGTTTTAACTAGTTGAATACAATAATAAAACGATTCCATCGATACACTGAAGTACTTTATGTTTTTTGCTCCATAGGAGTGTGGCCCTCTGGAGTCTGAGGCCATGGTGATGGGGGTCCTGGATCAGTCCTTCGATGTGCTTGTTCTCCGTTATAGAGTACAGAAACGCGTCTACTGCAAGGTGAGCTCCACTGCATGGTCTAAAGAGCAATATTGTAATAAATTAGTCGTAAAACCCAACCTCTAACTTTAGAGTGCGTACAGTTACATTCTAGTAACAAATGCTTGACGGGCACAGGAAGAGGAAAATGCTCTTCCTCACCTTCCAAGTTCAACCAGCATAAGCAGAGGATCCTGCAGCCACTTAGCGTTGCAACGGCAAACTTCAACTTTATGTCCTCTAGGAAAAATACCACCACTTACTACAGCCATGCCCTAATTTATAATCCCGGTTATTTTATCAAAGCAATGTGCCTTCTTTGAAACAATTGCAGCCACAAAGTTTGTGGCACCCCGGTGTTCATCTATCAACACCGAAACAAGTTCACTCAGGAGAGACTAAGTGAGTAATGGATCGAAAACTGTTTGTTTGTTTGTTTATTTCTTCCTTCAGTCTGTTGTGGGTCTGGACTCATTCCACCATCGTAAAGTGGGGAAGACATCTGAACTCACTCTGGTCTGGACAGCAGAGGACCGAGAGAAAGCTCCGGTAGAGCAGGTGAGAACTGCAAAAGCTAGAAAGTGATTCAGTTCTGTCTCAGGAATTGTATATTTTAACATTTTGATTCTAAAAACAATTGACGGCATTACAAATACAATATTTGCAACTTTTTTTTTGAAGAGATGGACCAGTTAGCTTGAGTTAAGACAGACCAAGCAAATTAACAGAATGTACATTGCAATAATCCCTTATTTCTTCGTTCCACCTGCAGGTCATTTCAGTCTTCACGTTGGTGGAGGTGCAGCTCAAAGCTGACGGTGCACCCATGAAATACAGTGCTGTGCTCAAGAGGCCCGAGGAGAGCAAGTCAGACTCTGAAATGCGTTGAGAAGCACTCAAAACACAAGAATGGACATTTTGAATTGCACATTTTCTTTTGTTTGGTAGAAGCAGCGTTGCTGTGTTAAGCACTACTGAACAGGTCTCGGTCCGATTTTAAATTAATTTTCCATTGACTTTCGTTCTTAGTGTGAAGGCCCATCCGGTCTCTCTTTTTTTGTGGTTAAATATCTTTTTATGAGCTGAAAAGGGAACTCTGCGTCCCGATTTTCTTTGGTTTATGTTCATTTCCACAATACATGGAAGGACTTGCAACATGAACCCATTTGACACAAAAGGCAAGTTGAGTTTCATTCTGAAGAAATGAAAACATAAATGAGTCTATAATTTGAAAAATGTTGTCAATGTGACATTTAGGATTTGTAGTTTAGTGAACTTATTGGCACACTACCTAATGTAACTCAATGGATGGATTTGAAATCTAATTGTCACCCGGGTCTAATAAGAAAATAACCAAAGCAGCATTAGTTGTATTTTACTGTTTGATTTATTGAGGTCTGTATTGTTGTATTTGACTATTGTACGCGGTTTAATGTGCGAAAGCTGCTATTTCAGTTTAACATCAATATATTCCACACTTACACCACACTTTTGAAGCTGACTTTAGCTGTCCTGACCTGCTATGCTGGCTGTAAAATACCTCCCCGGATTGACAGAACAGCGATCGTAACTTTGTTTTGGGGACAATATAACAAGTGCCATATAAGCCATCCAGGATTTTCTCGGTGTCGTATGTATTTATTGTTTTATACCGGTTGATCTTTGCGACTCTTCTTTGTTTTTTTTGTTGTTCACAAAAAAATGTTTCCTGATTCTTGTGTGTGATTTGAGGGCCTTTTCAGGTCCTTCGTGTCACAGTCCTGAATCATAGGATTGTTCTTAAACGTATTGTTCTTGTATAAACTAAGCCACGTTTTCTGTTCTTAGTTTGCAAGATGGGCCGAGGTGTAATCTTTTCTCATCTAATTCTTACTGCTTTTAAAAGACAACAGGAATTGAATTGCCTTGAAAGTGACTGGTGGCCTCGGGATATTGATGAGCTTGTTTGGAGGCCTTTCCTTTGTTGTTTATTGTGGATTTACAAAGAAGTACTTTGTGGACCTCATTAATATCAACTGTGAACTTTTTAGCCTTAATTTAAGAGAGCTGAAAACTATTTTGTGAAGCTGTACATTTTTTAGTATGTTGTCCCATTTTGCTTTCAGTCTGTGTGCCTCTTAAGTTATCGGTGCCAATTAGTGTCATAAAGAAGCTGCTACCTCTGCACTATTTGTTTTATCTTCATATGTCTCAATGAGTAAAAGGCCTGTCATTTTTTTTTCCAATACCATTGGATAGCTTTTAACTTTCTTTTGCTTCCATGGACTTTTACTTTGTCATGTAAACTTTACATTCATTTTAAACCGTGTTTGTAACTGTGCAAAACGTCTGTACTGATTTAGTGTCTTTCTGTGATTTCACGTTGACAAAAAAAAAATGCCGTTAAATCATTCAAATATAGTACAATGTCTGTCTTTTGAAAAGTTCTATTGAGACATTTAACTTTGATTCATGTCTGTATGGAACGTTCATCTGTACTTTGTGCTTTCCCATGTCACAGAGAAAATAAACGCATACGTGAATGACTCAAACTAGTGTTTCTTTGCATACCAGTTGAAGTTGACGTACTGGTGGCGAGGAGGAAGCACCAAGCAGTGAGTAATCGCGGCTGCCAGTGACACATCGATCACCCCAATGAACTACTTTGTGGCACTGCCCTCTTCGGTTTAGTTCATATTGCAAACAAACTACGTCAATCTGTTGTTTATGACTAGGGAGTGTTTGTAAATAATCCACCATTAACCCACTGCACCGTCATATAGAAGATAATGAAGGAAGAAAAGCGGAAAGTTGTGTCACAGTTGATGGCCGCGCCTTTTATCGCAACAGGTATCCACACCCTGAAATCTCAGCTGCGTGTAAAGTCTTGACTTTACACCCACAACCATATGACTAACTTTACAACAGCAGATAATAAGATGCAGGTTTCCCTTGAGGTACAAAGACCAACTCGGATAACTGACTCAGTTTCATTAGGATTTGTATTGCCAAACTTAAAAGCCCAAAGTTGTCCCTCCTCTTAAATAAAAAGATGGTTTAATCTCATTTACATGACAGTCGGTGAGATTCCACCTCTGATTAAGCCGCCGTCCAAAAGCTGCACATAAATTCATTACGACACTCGTTTTATGACTTACAAGAAGACCATATATATATATATAAAGGGTTGTTTGTTATCAATATATGAAATGTGCTCATTGTTTTAAAAAAATGGTCTGAAATGGCATCCGATTTGTATTTTTACATTTGCCATGGTTTTTCTTGATTACTTATCAGAACGCATTGCAGATTTACTCATCAAATAAAATTTGTGTGCAGTCAAGACCAGCCTGCTATGAAATAACCTCTGTGTAAGACCAGTCTCCTCCTCTTCCTTTTGCCTTACAGCGGGTTCAAAGTCGCGCCATAAAAATAAATGCGTCAGTCCAAGGAGAGCTGCGTCCGTTCCTTCATACTGAGACGGATTCAAGAGCTCGTCGGGTCATTCGGGAGCAGGACAGCGCGCTCGAAGAGCTGGAATTAATGAAGACCGCCGATTCACCATAGGTAGATCTCCTCAATTTGAACCAAACGTGATTCTTTTGCCACCATTTTTTCTTTGAAACATCCCAACTCATTATATGGATTTCTTTTTGTAGGAACGCTGAAAATTGGTGATGTTGAGAAAGGTAAGAGGAAAAAAAAATCAGATATTAGTGTGGATTTTATAGATGAGATTACTGCTCAGCGGAAAAAAAGACCTCCCAGCAGTTTTTCATTCAAGAGAAGGCTTTAAACTGATAAACGCTGGTCATTAATCATTAATTCAGTATGCTGACGGACATTAAAACACAACAGTGGAATTGTTCACCTTTTATTGTGCTGCATGTTTTCAGGGGGAGTGGGTGTGGGTGGACTCCGACATCGGGGTACCCATCGGAGCAAAGGTCAAAGTAACTAAATCTGGTCGGCGGTTACTGGTGGATGATGATGGAAAGGTAAACACTCGTTGGAGTAAAAGTCATGGGTTGAAGCATCATACACGCGTTTCCAGCCGGGATCTAGCTTCTGTAAAGCCTTCTCGTAAATTTGATACGTCGAGAAGGCCTGGAAGGACTCAAAATTCACTCGAACCTCCTTTCGAATTTGAGGACAAACTAGATTTCAGATTTTTTTGTGGTCATAGTTTCCAAATCTAAGGTCAATGGGGTTCTGCTCCGTAGAATTCTTTTGGTAGTTCCAGTTTCTTTGTTTTCAGGCTGATTTTGTGGATTTTGAGCCGGTCTTGTTGTGTGAAAAAGATATTTGTGATGTGTACGTTCCTTAAACTGTGGAGCTAATATTGGCAAATAACATTAGCACACTTATGCTAAACAAGCCGAGGAAGCTAAATCGAATGCAATACATATGCTGCTTTTAGCTTTATAATGATTGTTTAGTGTCATTCACTTTTACACTGCGATCTGTAGGACACAGCGTCTGTCTTTATTTTCTTAACCAGAATCATCAATATCCTTCTGTCCCCTTCTCTCTGAAATTCTCCTGTGTTTTATCTATGAATCAGTTATTCAATCAGTGAGTGCAGTTGGGGACAGTGTGAGCTCCACAGTGACGTCAGCTCTGACAGCGTTGAGGACGTAGCAGAAAGGGGCGGGGCTTAGCATCGTCATTTTCACGTCCAACGCGATAAAATGATGATGACGATGATTTGGTGTGAACGTGACGTAAGCTGCAGCTTCATGGTTTGAGGGAGGCGCAGGACCACAAGGTGGTAATTCTTCTTTGACCTCCCAGGAAAAGAGTCTTTCCCAGGAGCAGGAAGCGTCCCTCAAGATCATGCACCCCACATCAGTGGAGGGTGTGGATGACATGATCAAACTCGGGGACATGAATGAGGCCGGCCTCCTCAGGAATCTCCTTCTACGACACAAACGAGACATCATCTATGTAAGGCACACACGCAACAAACAAATCATTTTCAAGTTTAGTTTTACCAAAATATTGTATTATAAATCAACACTGGGTTGAAGTATCTTCTCTTAATACAGTTACATAATTTTTCTGAAGGCTGGTTTATTGTTATAAACAAGATCTGATCCTGGTATCCTATAAATCTTGACTAAATAAACTGTCGTACATAATAAATGTTTTACACCCCTGTGTTCTTCTGTTTGTAGACCTACACCGGCTCCGTGCTGGTAGCAGTGAACCCGTATCAGGCCTACCCTCTATATTCAGTCGACCAGGTGGGGCTGGTAGAATCTACTAATAGCACAACAGTTTCTCATCGTTTTCCTGTAGATTGCATTGGCTCTTCATGTGTGCATCCTGCTGTCCTTCAGGTTCAGATGTACCACGGTCGACAGCTCGGGGAGCTCCCGCCCCACATCTATGCCATCGCTGAATCCGCCTACGGTAACATGACACGTAATCTCAGGAACCAGTGCTGCATCATCAGGTCAGAACGATCACTCTGCCGGAAACGGTTGCAGATAGGCAGTCTGGAATAGAGTTGGTATTCCGTATTTTCACCTCCTGATTCATTTTTTTCTCGCTTTTCCTCAGCGGGGAATCAGGAGCAGGGAAGACCGAGAGCACGAAGCTTATCCTGCAGTACTTGGCAGCAGTCAGCGGGGAGCTCTCCCACCAGCAGATTGAAGAGCAGATCCTGCAGTCTAACCCGATACTAGAAGGTACTACATCAACACAACTACTGCTAGTACTTCAATAATGCACAGATGTGCAACAGCTGTCAGCTGAGAATAAAGAAAAATAACTCAAATGTCACTGTTCTTTCCCACGCAGCGTTTGGAAACGCAAAAACGATCCGAAACGATAACTCCAGCCGCTTCGGGAAATATTTAGAGATCTTCTTCAACAAGGACGGAGTGATCGAGGGCGCTCGCGTGGAACAGTATCTTCTGGAGAAGTCTCGTGTCTGCCATCAGGTGAGTTGTCTCTGTCCAAACACCTGTCTCCTGTTATCCGGGGCAGATTTATGCCGCAGACCCATAAAGGCAGGCCGGTTAGATAAACCTGCACTTATCCACGGTCAACAAGCTGCATCCTGTACAGGAAGTCAATCATTCCATGTTGCCTGTCACCACGCTCCTGCTCCGTGCTTAGGTTTGATGATACAAAAAAGCCACATGAAATGTTACTCGCTCAGCCATTTGCCAGAAAAGTGACACCATTTCACACGCCTTTTTATTTTGTAGCAATAATAGCGCATTGTCGTTCCACAACCTCAGGCGCCGCACGAGAGAAACTACCACATGTTTTACTGCATGCTGGCAGGAGTCACAGCAGAGGAGAAGAAGACTTTGAGCCTTGGAGATGCAAAGGAGTACACATTCCTCTCTAAGGTATTGCAATATCTACCTGTTGCTCATTTTGTCGCCTCAGGCAAAGCAAACACATTATCAATCGACAAGTGATCCATCTAAACCTCCCGTCTCATTCGCTGCAGGGCGACACTGTTGACTGTGAGGGCAGGGATGATGCTAAAGACTACAAAATCATTTGTTCCGCGATGAAAGTCTTGACCTTCTCAGAGAGCCAGTGTCAGGAAATCCTCAAGCTGCTGGCAGCCATATTGCATCTGGGGAACATCTGCTTCGAGGGTGAGTGTTAGCGTTTTAGATTTTTCTCTTAAAATAATCATTTTAATATGTCGATAGAAGTGCGGCGGCATAAATTCAGTCGTACGTACAAGCAGTGGGGATAAACAGCCGATGTGCAGGTTATATGTAATCATGTGTGATGCATAAATGTATAAACAGCATTTATTACAGGAAGTGAAAAAGATGTGCTGTATGTTTTGTGTACATTAACCTAAAACAATACATTCCACTTCACAAAATCACCAACGGTTTTGTTCATGATCATCTGCAAAGTAACTACACCTATTGAATAAATTAACTACAACTGTTTCCCCCTATATGTGATGGAGTAGATGTGTAAAGAAGCATGATTTGGAAGTACAGCACCTCCTCATTATAGTTCCTCAGATGATAAACCAGGAAGTTGCTCCATCAAATACTTTTTGTGTTGTTGTTGTTCTTACGTTTGATCATGTGTTCCCACCAGCAAACACGCAAAATAACTTGGAAACCAGTGAGGTCAGCAAGTCACAACACTTCAGCATCGCAGCATCAATCCTGGAGGTGAGTTCGTTTTTCTTTTTGTGTGTGTGCGTCGACACGAGTGAACCTTAACCTGCCGCACCATTAATCTTCATTCTTCAGCATTGAACAAGAAAGTTCCTGTCTGCTCTTTTCAGGTCCGCAAGTCGTCCCTGGCGTCGAGCCTCACCCATCGTTCCTTTATGACCAACAGAGAGAGGGTGACCAAACCCCTCAGCGCCGAACAGGCCTCAGACAGCAGAGACGCTTTCGTCAAGGTAATGAAGCCAGTAAATCAATGTTTCATACTTCCTTATTGGATCTTGATTTTCAACCAAGGAGGAAACATGTGCACATTACCCTTTGGATGTTAGATATTGCGTAAGTCATAAGGAAGTGTGTCCAGTTCACCTACATGACGTGTTTTGAACTTTGATTGTAGAGAGAATAATTGAGTGGGACCTAAATAGCAGCATTCATTCAGTATAATAGAAGTGTGTGTGTGTAAGGAAGGGGGCAGAGTTGTTGGGACAGTTGGGATTGGAACAAACAACCATACAGTCACAAATGCATTTTAGTGGTTTATATTCCTTGGTTTCGTGTGGCTGATCACTCAGGCAATCTACAATAAACTGTTCGTATGGATCGTCGGGAAAATCAACAATGTCATCTACAAGAAGTTGGCCAACAACCCCAAATCCTCCTTCCTTTCCATCGGCCTGCTTGACATCTTTGGCTTTGAGAACTTCAAAACAAACAGGTCAGGACATTTCTTCACTCTCCCTTCCAGCAGAGTGTAGCGCGACTCGCAGCTAAAAAAAAAACTGACGTTGTCCTGCTTCACAGCTTCGAGCAGCTGTGCATTAATTTTGCCAACGAAAAGCTGCAGCAGTTCTTCGTGGGCCACATCTTCAAGCTGGAGCAGAAGGAGTACCGGAAAGAAGACATTGTGTGGAACAAAATCCGCTTTAGTGACAATCAAAACATCCTGGACGTTCTGGCTGTGAAACCCTGCAACCTGCTGGCTCTTATCGATGAAGAAAGCCATTTTCCAAAGGTGACCATGCTGTTTTTTAGTCAATTCACACGCGCCAAAGACTATGCCGTAAAACCTGCTAATAAAATATTTTCTCTTGTTTTTGACTGGAAATATGTTTTGGTGTACCACAGGGCTCCGACCTAACTATGCTAAACAAGATGAACCAGCAGCACAGTGGGAACAAGACCTACATCGCCTCCAAAAGTGAACACCACACAGACTTTGGGATTCGCCACTTTGCAGGCGTGGTTCACTATGACTCCAAAGGTACAACGGCAAAATGCAAGAAGAAGAAGTCCAACCGAATGAGTAATGTTAGGCGCTTAGCAATGTTCTTGTCTCTGTTCAGGGTTCCTGGAAAAGAACAGAGATGCCGTCAGTTTTGACATAATCAAGATGGTCGATTTGACCACCAACAAGCTGCTTCATCAAATATTTGAGACTGAGCTTTCAACCAACGTTGGGAAGATCGGTAACAACAGCAAGGTCATCATGACACCTAAGAACTCTCTGCGGGTAGGAAACAATAACCTCATCAGCAATTTGTGCATTTTGCTACAAATATAAACCCCTGGTTTTGATGGAGATTCTTTTTGTGGCGCATATTCCAATTTCCAAATCATTGCCCATTTTCCTAACGCGGGTCTCATCTCTCTCATCCGTGCAGGCTCAGAGTGACAGCCGTAAACAGGTGACGACGCTGAGCGCTCAGTTCCGTCAGTCCCTGGACTCCCTCATGAAGGCTCTGTCCGCCTGCCAGCCTTTCTTCATCCGCTGCTTCAAACCAAACAATGAAAAGCAGTCGAAGGTGAATGGCACAAGAGCTTTTTTTTCAGTATGTTCATTAAGCGAATGAGATTAAGGTTGAGAAAACAAACATCAAGACATTTCACGTAAATTAGTTTGTTTCCTAAAATAATGAAGGTGTTGCCTTAACCACATGTTTTAAATGAATTTTCCCATCTGACATCTGTCCTTGCACAGGATAACACTTACCTGTTTTGTGCCATAAAGTAATAGACCAAATTTCCGGCAAAATATCACCTGATGATATAGTTGGGGTCGTAAACTGGAACATTTTACGACCCCTTATCAATTAGTATGGTTTCTCTTCATTCATCCCCAGAATTTGTTTTTTAATCCTATATTACTGTCATGACTGTAGTGAAAGAAATTGGTCGACCATTTTGCCACTGATGGGAGTAACAGTAACTGGATGATTTTTTTGTATATTATTTTTGTTGATATGCTGCTGAAGGAAGAAAGCATTAATGCTGTTCTATAAACTCTACAATATCCTATAATTCATCTCCTGCAGGTGTTTGACAGAGAGCTGTGTATGCGTCAGCTGAGGTACTCCGGCATGATGGACACCATCCGCATCCGGAAGCTGGGGTACCCGATTCGCCACACCTTTGTGGAGTTCCTGCATCGCTACAGGGTGCTCCTGAAGACGACCGTCTGCGACCCCAAAACTGTTAGTCGTCATAATCACACGTTTGATCTCACAAATCCTCTGTGGGCGGTATTCCTTTCTCGTTGCTAAATGTCTCCCCATTTGATACTGTGCACGCGATTATTACGGCCACGTGATGGTTTACTGCCTTTGTTGGAATTTGGGCTGTCATTAGTGTCTCTTCAGCAACTTTATTGTCTCTCCAGGAAACAGCTGCTGCCTGTTGTGAAGCCATCTGCCAGACGGCGATAGAAGGAGCAGACGAGTGGAAAATAGGCAGGACCAAGATCTTCCTGAGGGTGAGGAAAATGTATAACTCCAGCCGTGCTGTTCCAAAGCGTCGACATAGTAGAACATTGCTGCATATTAGCTGTAATAACATTAGCTTAGAAAGTAGAAGCAGCTTAACGGTTGACATTACTTTCTGTCTTTGGTTCCCAGTGTTTACTGTGTGCTGCAGTAAATTTGATTTAGTTTTTTTTAATTGGATGACTTAATCCAAGATCATTATCCCACCTAATAAGAACAACAACAACAACAACGTTTCTCTGTATAAATTAGAAATTAGAAATGCGTCTTTTTTCACTTTGATTCAGGACGCTCATGATGCCGTCCTGGAACGACTGAGGGAACAAAGGCTCGGCAAGATCGCTTTGGTGATCCAGAGGGTCATGCTGGGACACAAAGACAGGTACAGTCTCTAAGGAGAGTAAAAAGGGAACTCTCATAGAGATAATGAGCTCAGAGCTGAACGAGGTCATGGCTACATTCTATTTCTTTATCTCAAAAGGTCTGTTTATCACTATAGATTAGGGACACATTGCGATGTGTTATCAAGATCTGTACTTTCACATGAAATATGGTGTATAAGTTAAAGACGTGTGTGACATAGAGTAACGAAGGTTTCTTTTGCCTTTGTCTGTCTTACAGGAAGTCTTTCCTGAAGAAGCGGAGGGCTGCTGTGGTGCTGCAGAAGAACTGGAGAGCTTACAAACAGGAGAAAATTAGGAGAAAGGTCTGACGATGAATAACCAGTCAGGGCGTGTAGCTGACAACATGCGCTCTCTTTGATGTTTGCATTAACTCCAGCGACCTTGTCCGTTTTTTTTTTTCCACTCCTGCTCAACCAGATCCAGAAAGGCTTTGAGCGGCTGGTGTCAAAAATCCGCAGTCGGAAGCTGCGGTTGCAGCACCTAAGACAGCGGGAGGCAGCACTCACCATACAGAGCCAGGTTCTTACTATACATAGATTCATTTACAGTGTTGTTTTATTAATCATTTTTGATGTCCCAAGTACCTTTGTTGTAATGAAAATGAACATATATATTTTGGTTTCACTCCTATTATTATTGTCAGTGCTTTTGCAACAAAAACATTTAAAGAAAAAGATTAGTTCATTATTTATACTATAATGATTCATTTCTGATGTACTGTAGGTTCGGGGCTACCGGGAGAGGAAAGGCTGGAAGCAGAAGAGAGAGGCAGTCATACTGCTGCAGGCTTGCAGCAGAGGACTCCTGGCCAGGAGAATAGCTGAGAAAAAGAGGAAAGATGTGAGTGCAATAAAGTCCCAAAACTAGAATTAATTTAATCAATGTTAAAGAATAGGTGTGTTATAGAAATAAACCGTCCCACCTCCTGTTTCTATAGCTTCTCTTCACCCAAACCCCCTCACAGGCCTCCCTTCTGCTTCTGGCAAAAGAGAACCAACAGAAGATCGCCTCAGAGCTTCAGCAGCGCCTGGCAGCTATCGCTCGGTTACAACCAGCGCACCAGGAGCCCGAGCCAATCGTTGAGCGGGATTCAGAGGACGACGCAAGCGATCTCCAGCCCACGCCTCCCGTGGAAGTGATAAAACCGGAATCACCCCCATCCAATGGATTTCAGGTAAGACAATGAATAATTTGCGTGGTACCGTAATGTGATGCAAATACGCATTAGCCTTTTATCACGTCTAATTTCCCAAACTTACCTTTTTTTCAAGAAGAGAAACGTGCCAACGCCGGTTGAGGAAACATCCGTTGAGACATCAGAGCAGAAAATCGTCACTGCGGCCTCATCAACACCCACCCCATCAGTTGAGGAGGAGGAGGAAGACGACGAGTTTGACGAGGGCAGCGATGAGTTTTCCTTCAACGCGTTCAGCAGCCTACACTTCCAGGGCAACGCCGACCACACGCACTTCAACCAGAGACTCAGGCAGCCGCTTCTGCACCACGACGACGAGGGCGACGCTCTGGTGAGGGGACATGGACCGACAAAGGGACAGCTGTCTTACTGCCAGAGATTTCAAAGACTTCTAGCTTTTTCCAAAGCTCACCCCAGTTTCTCCTCGTTCTTTTCTCATCTTGTCCCTCAGGCTTGTCTGACTATATGGTGGATCATACTGCGTTACATGGGGGACATGCCGGAACCGAGACCTGTGGACGCCACGTCCCAATCGTCCACCATCGCGTCCCGTCAGCTCCCTCAGAGGCAAGGCAGGAGGCTGAGCAGCCTGGTGGGCCTCGACCAGGTAACATGTGACAATCAGCTGCTGCTGCTGTAGTACAGAAGATCCCCCTTGAACGTCAAAGAACAGTCAGTACCGTCTAATCCTCATGTAATCTCTGAATAGAAAATAATGAGGAAGAACAAGAAGAAGCTCGGAGGTGGAAGCAGAAAAGCGTCCATGATTCCGGAGGAGGTCAGCACTAATGTCGCTATGAGTTGAACGGCTTTTTCTGTGTTGATTCATGTGCTAATTCATAGTAATTAATTGCAGCCAGAGAACTTTACAGAGGAGGACAACATTTTGATCGGAGAGGGCCCGACACTGGATCGCCCACTTTCATCTTTGGAGAAACTGCAGTTCATCATTGGATACGCTCTATCGAGACCAAACATCAGGTAGAGAAGGGATGATTGTTGACATGATGGAGAGAGAGAAATATAAATATCTAGATATATAACATTCATATACATTGGAGCAGCATTTTTGCATCCTTGTAGCACTGGATTTATACTATTCCAATGTGTTTTGTTTTACCCATCTTTAACATTCCAATCAATTTCTGAATTTCCAAGAGGTTCTCTTGCACTCATTGTTCACTTCTTCTTATCCTCTAATACGGTCTTGTTTATCGCGGTTTATTTCATGTTTCTTGGCCTGTGCAGGGATGAGATCTACTGCCAGATCTGTAAGCAGCTGGTGAACAATAAGAACAGGAGGAGTCGTATGCAAGGTTGGATCCTTCTTTCCATCTGTCTCGGGATCTTCCCCCCCTCAGAAGTCTTTATGAAGGTCAGTCTGCGGAACGCTTTCATTGAAACAGCAGCTTGAAATCCAAATACTTGATACCCTGTCTAGTGCCGCCTCACCTTGTAGTTAATGCCCACCCTCTGTGTTGATTTAAACAAAAGTATAAAAATAAGATAAAATACCTTGGATGCATCTTCAAACGTAGTCCACTAAAATTGACACCTTTGCTCAGCGTACATACTTACCTGAACGTCATGTATGTTCATTGCAACATAGTCAAGTCAAATGTCTTCTCATCTGCTCATTCTTTTTGGCATTTTTAAATATTTTTCCATGAAATCATTCTTTATTTGGTGATGTATTTAGCTGACCCTGTTCTATTCTTCTCTGTTCCACAGTATTTGGAGCGTTTTGTCCGCAGAGGTCCGGATGGTTACGGAAAGTACTGTGCTGAGCGACTGACTCGGACAGCAGCCAACTCAGCAAGAAAGGAGTTGCCCTGTTGGACCGAGGAACAGGTAGAAACACAGAATTTTCTTTTTTCTAATTATTTTCTTTTTTTAAAGTTTTTTGTTGAAGAAAACAAGCACACCTCACATGTATTAAACTTTAAAATATTGAATTGTTTTACGTAGTCCTCGATAAGCCCGGTCTGAGGGCCCAGGCGTTACACTCCATAACAGCAGGAACCCACATATCAGTGGAAATTATTCACAGGTGATAATGGCAGACTGGCAGTTGAATAATATTCTATAAACTGCTTATTTTCTTTCAGTACTAGTCCTGTAACTTTATTTCCACCACCTAAAGTCACCCTTTTTTCAGCTTCCTCTGTCACAAGCAAAAGCTAACCTCCGGTGGTGCGTGCAGTGCGCTACAAGAACGTGGAGCCTGTGTGTTTATCATCTCGGCCTGATTACAATACAGTCTTATCTGTGTTACCCTTACTGACAGGCTGCAAAGTCCAAGAAGCCAATAGATGTGGCTGTGACCATAGAGGACGATCGTGCCATCAGGTTACAAGTGGACTCCGCCTCCACCTCCGCTGAAGTCTGTCAAGCTGTGGCTGACCAGATTGGTCTTCGAGACACATATGGATTCTCCCTGTACATCAGTTTCAATGAAAAGGTGGGCTGCACTTGCACTCCTGTTTATTCGTTCAGAACTTCTGAGTGCACCTGCTTTTTGTTGACCCATAAAGTGAGATTCCAGTTTCTCAATGTCGTTTAAATCGGTGCTCAATCGCAGTTCAAAGTATTGCAGGGAATCCCACTTAGTTAAACCGTCTCTCGTCTCCAGATGTGGTCTCTGGGCAGCAGTGGGAGACACGTATTCGATGCAGTGTCTCAGTGTGAGCAGGAGATGAGGAGGCAAGGCAAGAAGGAGAAGGATGCCCCCTGGAGACTTTCAATCCGCAAGGAACTGTTCACACCCTGGCACGACACCTCAGTCGACCCGATCAGCACCGACCTGATTTACAGACAGGTTATCAAGGGAATCAAGATGGGAGAGTACACCAGTGACAATGTGAGGCTCAGAAATACGAGGACTTTACTTTGACATTCTTATCATAACTTAATTTCTTCAAAAAGACAACCCTGCCAATTTGTGTCGTCACTGGTTATAATTTCTCTGTGGAAGACAATAAAAATATCCAATCCAATAAAAATATATTGCATCTCTCAGGACAACGATTACGTCCATCTGGGAGCGCAGAATTATTACATCCAGTTTGGGTCTGCCTGCAACAAAGACAACGTCGGAAAGGTAGTCGAGGAGTGCATCTCCACAACACTTCTTGAGAAGAAGTCAAAGACAAAGTGGATCGAACTCATCAACACAGCGCACATGGAGGTAAAGTGCATGCAATCAAAAAACAGTCCAAAATGAGATACTTTCCCTTTATTTTCTATTGGCTACTATAGAAAGAGTCCCCAGGGGATAATTCTTACCTCCTGGTCCTGCAGGGTCCGTATATCAACGGGAACCAGACGTCAGACAGCGTAAAAGGAGAACTGGTCAGCAACGCACAACATGCATGGCCCTTGCACTTCTCCAAGTTTTTTGAAGCTACGTTGATCTCAGGTGAGTCATCATGCTGCTGATAATACCCACAGGATTTAACATGCAGGTTCAACACCCAGAGGGGTCTTAAATGTTTTTCTAAAACGACGTTGTAAAGGAGTAAACAACATATTGTTACTCTAACTGGAGATTAAGCTTCTGTAACTTTGCATTTCCAGATATGTCCACAGGACCTTCTTTGCTCAAAAGCCGATTTTTTGTGGCTGTAAACTCGAGTGGCGTCTTCTTCATGGACGGCAGAGACAAGAGTCTCCTTCAGATTCCTTACCTCGAAGTAAAGGACGTACGCATAATCAAGTAAGGACCATTTGTTATTCTTCTGAAACAATCATTAATGCGAAAATAATTGAGTGAACGTGTCAAACAAATAATGCTTGGTTGTATACAACCTGTTTAGTGACAGTCATTTTAGTGACACAGGGTCACTGAGTTTGGCCACAGTCAAAGGAGAGTTTGTCCTGACATCGGCGGACGCCGTGGAAATGGCTGCCCTCATTGAGAAAAACCTCGACGGGCTGAGACGGCGCTCTGTGTACGCGCTGGCTCAACAGGATGTCGGTAAACCAGGTAGGAGCCTACAGATCACTGTGGCGGTGTTTCGTCCCACACGCGCAGTAAAAACACAGTTGCCTCTCTTTCTCTCGCCGTCTGCAGACGACCCCGCGTTCCTGCTTTGTAAACGAGGCGACCTTCTGCTAGTAAAAGATAGAAGCGGTTTTCCCGACAACAACGTGATGAAAGTTACAAACCAGCGGACTGGTGCAGAGTGTGCGGTCCATAAGGATACGGTGCAGTTTCTGCCAACTCTTGAGAAGCCCACCGACGTTATGCTGGTAGAGTTACCCATCTTTTATTGTTAAATAAATGCATTTCGGCATTCAACTTTGGGTGAATACAAATGTAAAATCTGAATATAGAAAGAGGGTTATCTATAAATTCCTTTAGTCAAATTGTTTTTAGTATTTACATAATGTAAACAACTCATCGAAAACAGTAAATGTTCAAATTGACAACATTATTAATTGAATATATTAGTGAAGTATGCAAGTGAATGCGAGTATTTTACGTGAGCTTTTAGGTGTGCGGATAAAGCCGTGGTTCCGTGAGGATGACGGTTGCCCCCCTTTGGTGTAATTAATGAACCACCTCTGACCCCTCAGGAGCTTCTCTGTCCGGGCCAGAGGAAACAATCAACCGCACAAAACAACAACCTAAGAAACGATACGGTGGCCCCCATCTCTTTGAAAGAGTTTGCATTTGATTACTTCAGGTATTAAATTAATCACTATTTAGTTATTTTTTCCCCATTCTGAATATTAATCTAACAATATGACAGACGTCATCACAACATTTTTCAAAGAGCAAAACTCTCTTCTTGGAAGCTTCCAAGACCGATGCGCTCACGCAGTTTGCTCGATGTCGCAGGCCTGCAGCTAAAGATGCCGGGCGACACGGTGCCGGTAAAGTGGTCGTCAGGGAGAGACTGTGGGCTTGCTCCAGAGAACCTCTCAAACAGCCTCTCTTGAAGAGCCTGCTCGGCAACTCTGATCTCAGCAACCTGGCCTGCAGCATCTTCACTGATATCCTTGGAACTAATGCTTCTGAGGCGAGGGTGAAGTTGGAACGCCCGTTCCACTCACATCCCCGTTTTCAGGAACATAGCCGAAATATTATTTATAGCATTTGATTGTTATACGCTATCATGCACCAAATGAATGGCTACATGAAGATTGTCAGGTATCGTAATAATATTTTTGTCAGGATGAGTCTGATAACCAAATGTGATATTCATTCAGCGGTAAAAGGTGCTCTGAACAAGCAAACTGGCTTCCCATTTAACACTAACAAAAATGGGAACCAGTCCGTTTTTTTCCAGGCCAATTTCTTTTCCTTTGGCCTTGTGTTTAACACCCCCTGGTCTACAAAACACAAAGGACTGTGTGACAAATTACCCAGTCTGTGTGAATCCTTGACCACGGCTGCCACCTGTCCTGAAGTACATGGGCGACTACCCCATCAAACACGCTCGCAGTCCTCTGGAGCTGACGGACCAGATCTTTGGTCCCGCCACCCAACATGAAGCTCTGCAGGATGAGGTCTACTGCCAGATCATGAGACAGATGACCAACAACCCGAGCAGGTGCTCCCTCCGCCCGCACTTCTGTATGTTGAACCGTTCACAAAAGAGCCGACGAATAAAATCCCATATTGTCCCCCCCCCTCCCACCCTCTGCCTGTTGCGCTCGCTCTTCCTCCCTCTCAGGTTGAGTATGGAGCGTGGGTGGCAGCTCATGTGGCTGTGTTTGGGCTTGTTCCGGCCCAGTCCCAATTTGCAGAAACACACTCAGCACTTCCTGGAGTCGCGGCCCAGAGACCAGCTGGCTCCTGGCTGCCTGAAGAGGCTGCACCAGATGTCCAGGTCAGGCTATAATAAGAAATGATTTGTTGTTCCCGTTTCTTTGCACCTGTGAGTTGATCGCTGTAATAGAAATCATCAGCGCATGTTGGTAAATCACAGTGGTTGTGCTTTGTGACCTCAGAAAGGAGCCCAGAAAGCTTCCCCCACATCCGGTAGAAGTGGATGCCATCCAACAGAACAGCACCCAGATCTTCCATAAAATCCACTTCCCGAACGACACAAGTGATGTACGACACAACACCCGCCTCCAGACACTCGGATGGGATATCCATCAGCGTGCACTTGATCATACTATTGATTTTATCTAGCATGATTTAAAAAATATATAATTTCTAATGGAGAGAGTTTTGAAGCTAAAATGTATTTTATTTCGTTATCAGTTTTTGGTGACTGTTTCCATACTTCAATATGTTATCACAGTCTATTTTCATATCAGCAAACGTTTTGTATTCTTTATGTTGTGCAGATATTTGAAGTGAAGTCGACGAGCACAATCGAAACCCTGTGCCGCAGCATCGCCATTAAGCTCAAAGTGAGCTCCGCTGAAGGATACGGCCTGTACCTAAAAACGCCAAACAAGGTCAGGTTGGAAAATGTGCCTGAAGAAGTTGCTTTTTTTTTTTTTAGCCATTCATTACATTGTGTTTTGACAAAAAAGACAGAGATGTAATAAGATATGTTGATCATATACAGTCCAAGGTGACATTTCCTTCTATGGATTATATGACTCATTCAAGAACATTGACTCAACAATGGTGAATTAAAAATCTTCAGTTGGTGCCTGATAATTCCACGGATGTACTTCTAACCTGTTTCATAACATATTGACATTATTCTGTTTTTAGCTCGTAAGCATGGAGGAGCAGAACTATTTTTTTGACAGTTTAAGGCAGACTTCAGAGGCTCCAAAGAAAGCAAAGAAAGTGAAAGAAGGTAATTCTTCAATAGTAACACCTTCATATGTTTATAGTCGGTGGTTTTCCTTATTTATAACTGAGGTTAAACATCCCAGGCAACCCAGCCATGGCGCCGTACCGGGTGATCTTCAAGAGGAAGCTCTGGTTCAACGTGAGCCCGGGGAAAGACCTGGTCGCAGATCTAACTTTCCACTTCCCACAGGTATGCAACCAAAACGCACTCTTCACTTGGACGGCTTTCACTCCATTTTTTTCTTCGACACGCGCAGTATGGTCTTGTTTTTGCCGCCACATAGGAGCTGCCCAGGTACCTGCGTGGATACCACAATTGCACGAAAGAGGACATGACCAACTTGGGCGGGCTGCTCTTCAGGGTCGAAGTAGATTCGGACAGGTCGCAGTTTGTCATGATCCCCAGGATGCTGAGGGAGCTGGTTCCTGCCGACCAGTTAAAAATCATGTCCCCCGAAGAATGGAAGAAGGTAAAGGAAAGGACGTGCAGAGGCGGAGCAGACATTTACGACAATTCTTTTTTATCTTTTGAATAACTCTTTTTGAGAGGCACCAGGAGTAAACTGCCGTTTAATCCTATGAATCTGTTAAGGGAAGTTCACTGGGTAAAACGCTCTTTGCTTCTTTTTCCTGCTTGCAGCACATCGTATCTGCCTATAACAGGCAGAGTGGCATCACGGTGCAGGAGGCCAAAATCGCCTTCCTGAAAGACATTTCGAGTTGGCCGACCTTTGGCTGTTCCTTCTTTGAAGTCAAGGTGAGTCCTCAGGATGAATTTACAGCGTGGTTTGTCAGACAACAATTTGAGGAAACTGTTTGGCCTCATTAAAATTTCATGTGCGTTTGACTTTGCAGCAAACTTGTGACTCTAGCTACCCAAATACAGTTTTGATCTCCATCAGCAAGCAAGGGGTTTGCTTAATAGACCCAGTTACCAAGGTAAGTTTATTTAAATGATCCATAACATTATGCATCCTCTTCCTTATTAGTAATGTAACATATGGTATCTTGTCAGGTTTCTTTTTAGTATTTCCTTTCACTTATTAAATCTAGTCTGTTGCATATTATTTCTGTATATTAAGCATTAGGGGGGAAGGGGGGGGGGGGTAATTCTCATGTATCCTAATCATACTTTAAACCTTTTAGGAGCTGCTTGTTATGCACCCATTCAGCCGCATCACAGAGTACCAAAGCGATAGCGGCTACTTTGAGATGACCATCGGCACCATGGGCAACATCTTTGTCTGTGAAACCACACAGGTTAGTGGCTGTTTTATATTTATTTTTAATAATGGAAAAATGCACAAGCAAATACATTATTCTATTGATCAGTCTGTTCCTGAGAGTTCATTTTTATTGTTTTTATTAATCGTTTCTTGACAAGGCCCACACAATGGAGGACCTTCTTAGATCGTACATCACCATGTACGAGAGGCAGAGGCAGAACTTCCGACCAAGGAACCAAATGTTTTCCTGAGGCTTCAAGAGCAACGGTGCATAATTTATATGTACTTTTGATTAGTATCTTAATAACTATTGCATTCCTTCACATTAAAATACAGTATACAGTACAAATATATTGTTTGCTTAATTCCATGTTTTCGTATATAAATATATTTTCTTCATCTGAACGCCCTCTTATTTCACTATTTTATTTTGGATTTGCACACTCGATTAATATAATACTCTGCCTGTACAATGAGAGGTATTATTTGTGATTTAATTTAGAAAAATAAAATATATATGAACATACTCAGAATTCTTTCTCATTTAATAGACTGCACACTGTAAACTTGTACCCTAAAGTATGCTAAATACAAGATTCTATCTGTCAAATTCTGAATGAAGACGTTTTCAATCGTTATTTGTCAAACTGTTCATCCACCTCCACAACTAGAAACTCTTCAAAAATATTAATAGATTTATTTATTTATTATTGTTAGAATTTTCCACTTGGAAAGTTAGCCTACAAATGTCAAAGATGGATTGCAATTCATGCAATCAAACTTTATTTAATAAACATTGGGTTTATCATATGGCCCCAAAAAAACATTCGAAAACACTACATATGTTTATACCTTTATATATTGACACATTTGCCTATCAATTGTTTAATGCCCTGGCAATTAAATAACTGGAAAACAATCCAGGGTGTAGCCTGTCTCTCCCCCAACGCCAGCTGGCATAGACTTCAGCCCTCCCACGGCCCGCTAAAGATAACCAGCAAAGAAGATGAATCAATCAATAAATCAATGGTTGGATTATCATCTAAATCCATGAACATGTCATTACATTGAATATTCATATCCACTTACATTGGACGTTGTAAAAATGCATACAGCATCATTAAATGTTGAGAAAAGTGTCTTTTTGAAATTGCTGACTTTAGTATACGATGTTTAAAATGACAAGCCAATTATTTAATGCCCGGGAAACTGAAACTATTTCAACAGAAAACATCTGTTTTTGTGCTTAAACTGTTCTTTGCTTTTTGCTGGATTAATGTTTGGTAATACGAATATCTGTGTTAAGACAGTTATGAAATATTATACCATGAGTAAATATACAACGTATTTTTCTCTTTGATTTGTTTGTATTTTTAAACTTGTATTGATATTTCAAGAGCCTTCATTGTTTTTGACCTCAGCTGTGTGGCTGGTACACAAGCTGGAGACAAAATCAGCCAACACTTGTGATTTTCCATCAGACATTTGATGCCTCTGGAATGTCCCGACGCTGCTTGAATTTCAGTAAGCAGTCACTCTTTTACCGCAACACAACTCAAACGTCATACCTGAAAGGACATCACAAATGCGTTGTGCGATGTACTACATATAGTAGCACGTAGTAGTGTAATTGTCAACCACTTAAACAACCAGCCTCGTTGCCTGTCAAGACCATTGCTCTGTTACCATGGAAACCATGTGACCAAAAAAATCAGGTTACCGTGGGCAGGTGCATATGAGGTGCAGTATTATCGTCTGTGCCTCAGAGCCCAATATTTCCAGATGAAATCTGACTGCAAGTGGAGCAGACACGAGACCCTATAGCAGTGTAATCACTGTAGTTTTAAAGACTATCTGACCCAATGAAATTACCCTGGATATTACTATTCAGATATTAAAGGCCAACATGCCAACAGTATATATATACTGTAGAGTTTAATCTCACTCTGGTTTAAAGTAAATGTATTGTGTTGCATTCAAAATAAATGTAGAAAGTAATGTAAAAGTAAGATGTAGGCCATTCAGTTGAATGTCGAAGTCTGTATGTTTTGTGTCTGATGCCTTACAAGAGAGCAAATGCATTTTGATGCACTGCACCAAATTTGGAACAAAAGACCTTATAGCCCAGATCACATCACTATCCTCCCACCTGCATTAACCCCCCCCCAGCCTTATATTTTAAGAAATTGTTATCGAGACCATATATATATATATATATATGGTCTCGATAACAATTTCTTGTATATGTGTTCATATGAATAAATATAGTTGATATTTTATCAATAAATATATACATACATAAACACGCACGCACACGAAATACGGCGTGCGGGCACACGTGTGTGTGTGTGTGTGTGCGTGTGCGTGTGTGTATGCGTGCGCACGCTCATATTTTCTGTCATTCTCCTCAACCAGAAGAAGACAAAACCTTTCAGCCATTTTTTTTCCGTGGGGTTTGTTGTTCACGCAACAGACATGAGGCTGTTCTCAGGTCGCCGCTGAGATGCGCCTTCCGGTCGACCCGCGGCCGGCTCCGAGGAGGGTAAAATGATCCCAGATCAGTTTCTGTTTCGGTGTCACCGCCGCGGCTCCTTATCGCGCGGCAGCCTCGCGATAGCGCCTCGCCTTCCAGAATCAAAGCTTCCGTTTCGCGAGCTGGATGCTGCTGACAGACGCGCGGCGCGGTCGTCATGCAGAGGCTACACCGGATCCGCTCCAGCGAGTCTCTGAAGAAGCTGCTCCTCCGCCGGACCCGCACGGAGCACAGCGCGCGAGACGTCTAGCGGACGCCAACAACAACAACAACAAACAAACAAAAAGCTCGGGACTCGCGTTTTAGCGGCCCGTTTTGGCAACGGCAGGTGTCCGAACGATGGACGAAAGTTTAGGATTCCCGCAGACGGCGGTGTGTTCGCTGGATCCCATCAGCGGTAAAGTGGCTTCATGAGTGTCCAAAGTAACAGTGGAAGTGGTGGTGGAAGTTTGGAGGCGACGCCATCTTGGTCGCAGCTCTCCTCGTCCCCAACGATTTCTCAACAACATATAACGGCGACCGCAAAGAGCAAGGAAGGTATAATGGCTCGCCAAGTGCACAACTTAAAGCGCGGCCTTCACCGGAGAAGTGGATTTTATTTTCGTGCCGTGCCGCGCTAACGTTTGTTGTAGTAAAAAAAAAAATGGATGTCAAGTTCACTGATGTCGTGAATTCGGAAGCCAAACGTCAGCTGTCAGTTGGGTTGACGGCCAGCCCGAGTAGCAGCAAAGCTATCGTGTTGTGCACAAAGGAAGCGCCGGCTCGTTTTTTTTGTTGTTGTTTTGTCCTTCTCACTTTGAAGTGGCCACTGTTTTGTAGCGTTCTCCTTCCCCGTCAACTGGCACCTAGATGGCTGTTCAATAACACGGCTAATGCACGCACCCGTCAATGCATCGACGTGCACGCAGAAACTTGCGAGCAGGCCCTGGCTTTTTGTTGTTGTTGTTGTTGTTGTTGTTTTGCATATTCGGTCATTTCGGAAGCATCTGACTATCCACGTTGTTGTCGTCGTTTTTGAGACTATTCACTTTGGTTGCCGGGTGTGATGTGCTAGAAGTTATCATCTTCCAGTTACGTGTATTGATTAACCCGCAGGACGTGATGTGTTAACGGGGACATATTGAGACCGCGACGGTGTAACAGATAATTCGCTCTGAAGGACTGAAAACGTTACGGAAGCAATTGTGTAATGCGTGCCGGTCCACCGGAGTAAACGCTGTAACGTGAAGCTCTTGCTAGGATCATCGAGCTAAATCTCCCCCCACCCTGTCCTTAGGTAACCCCACACAGGCGTTATGGACTCACAATGTCCATCTTGCCTTTTTAACAAAACTTTTTTTTTTTTTTAGGGCTTGCCCCTGTGCAGAAGCTATGTAAAGATGTCAGCCAGGAAACGTCCAGCAAGGAAACAAACATTTGCAGGAGTCAGCAGGGAGCAGAGGACCTGTGTGTGTGTGTGTGTGTGTGTCCCTGGAAGCTGGTTGTCATAGAACCAGGCCCAGTCGGGCAGCGTGCACGTCTCCGCCCGATGCTTGTGTTAAAGTCATGGTGTTGACGTTGTAGTGCAGATTTGCAGTGTTATGGTCCACCACCCCTGACGTCTGCAAATCTGCCCAATACAGGGAGGACATTTGGACGCTGCGAAGGTCTGTTTGGCAGCGTAACAAAAGCTAACTCTTGATTCAGCAGCAATCCGGAACATTGATGCAGATTCCTCATTGACTCTTGACACTTTTAGAGAAATGTGACCCTCCAAGCCTCCATTTTAAAAAGCTTCTTGCTCTGCAGGACCGGTTGGGCCTAGCCTAGACTCGTCTCCCTCCCGACTTCCCAGTAATGGAACGATCTTCCTGCTTATGTCAGAAATGAACTGTCACTCATCTGCAGTATCTTCCATCATAGCTAAAGCGCTACCTCTACTGCTCTTTGGGTGCAATCCATTTTTTCATGCAATGGTCTCCCGTTTCTTCTTAGTGCCCATTTTCTTTCTCTCTTGTAATCTGATCCCAAACAAATGTTCAGGGCTCAATAGCTCTTACTCCTTTTTTTTTTTTACTTGTCATCACCGTTTGCTTCCTATGGCGATAATGTAACCATCTAACCTCCCGCTGTTGATCCCTTAATATCAGGCCCCATGGAGGAGCTGCACAGCCTGGATCCCCGGAGACAGGAGTTGCTGGAGGCCAGGTTCACAGGAGCTGTCAGTGGTAACACAGGAGGCAGCACTGGGAGCACCAGTGGAGGTGCTAAGGTAACCGCGACACAGGAAAAACTGAAGCCTCGTTTTTGAGATGTGTCACACACACGAACACGCTGTGGATCCCGGGATCTAAAGAGCTTCGTGAGCTGAAAGTAGGATGCATCGTTTAGAAAACAATAAAATCTCTAACTTTGAGTTCTAACAGCAACACTAGCGACGACCAGTGCTCGCTTGCAGCCAAACGAATGCTGTAAACGAGCTGTAGTTTTTCCTTTAACTTTTATAGCACCTTTCACTTGTGGACAAAATATTCCTATGGTGTGCGTTCACTTATTGGTGTGACTTCTCTATATGTTCAGGGTCTGGCCAACGAGTCCTCTAACCACAGCTACGGCAGTCTGGGCTCCTCTAGCGACAAGGAATCAGAGGTAAACACACACACACACACACACACGTCACTTCTGCAGTGGGTGTGGGTGACTGTATTTTGATAAGACGGAACAAAAGAAATTGAAAATGATTATGTCTTAATTTAATTATACAAATGGCAACAATGAAGCAAGTTGTCAGTACATCCTTGCACGGCCCACTCGTCTTTCTGTCTCTCCCACGGCCTCCACCTCTCCTTCTCTTCTCTTCCCAGAACTCTGATTTGAAAAGAGGGAGCTCCCCTGCCTACTCAGTATGTACTCGTTCTTCCTGCTACTCTTCCCCGCTGAACACCGGTGCTCGAATCGTCTTTTGTTAGGTAAAGCACAAGGGATTTATGCCTCTATTCTTATTTCATATGGATTCACAGACCCCGGAGAAAAAACACTCTGAATCATCCAGGGGGAGGAAAAGAAAAGCAGACACCTATTCAGAAAGCAGTCAAGGTACGACAAACACCTGCATGCAAGACATCTGTAACACGTAGAACACCTGCATGCAAGACATCTGTAACGCGTAGAGCACCTGCATGCAAGACATCTGTAACGCGTAGAACACCTGCATGCAAGACATCTGTAACGCGTAGAGCACCTGCATGCAACACATCTGTAACGCGTAGAGCACCTGCATGCAACACATCTGTAACGCGTAGAGCACCTGCATGCAACACATCTGTAACACGTGGAACACCTGCATGCAACACATCTGTAACACGTGGATATCGATGCCTTCGAGATCGGCCTACGTTAAATCTTTGTTAATATTTCAATGCAGGGAAGACGTCCACGCGAGGGCCCAAGATCAGTGACTACTTTGATGTGAGTATTAAAGCAACTTCCATTCTAAAAAGTTCCTCCTTAGTATTTTTGAAAATAATTTTTAAGGAAATGGCAAAATCTATGCAAAGTTCCAGAGTGGGAATGGTTCCAGTCCAGTCAGGGGTCTCCCCTCAGCCCGCCGCTCTCCACAGAACTCTCACTCTGCCCCAGGCTCAATCGTGAGTTTTTTTTTCCCCCACAAACGATACAATACCTTACATGAGGATCATTAATCCTCATAGTTGCACATGGGGTGAATGTGATTGTCAGTGTTTCATTGGTGTTTAAAAGTCCCTCTTTGTCTGTAGATCCGACAGAATAGCTCCTCTCCTACGAGTCTGTGTTTTGGTGACCACAATCCTAAAGCTTCCTCCAGCAAGTGTGTCCAGGTAATGTGATGCATACATTAAACACTGACATGACACCCTATTGCATTATTTTTAACACACCTCTGACTGATGCATATCTGAATTCTTCAGACGGATCTAACGGGGCTGAAACTTGCTGCTCTGGAGAGCAACAAGAGTCTGGACCTGGAAAAAAAAGAGGGGCGTATAGATGACCTGCTGAGAGTGAGTTCAACATCAATAACCTGAGTTGTGACGCCGAGTGCATGAAAGTCTAATGTACAGCAGGTCATCAAGTCAGATTTGTACTAATGCACTCTCTGCTGATTTCCCTTAACAGGCCAACTGTGACCTGCGGAGGCAGATAGATGAACAGCAGAAACTCCTGGAGAAATACAAGGAGAGGCTCAATAAGTGCATCACCATGAGCAAGAAACTGCTAATAGAGAAGGTATCTGTCTCTGCCTGCATGGACCCCTCTGTGTGTTCATCATACAAAAAAAACGTAACTCCGTTAAGATGTTTTTGTTCTACTTTGGGCAGAATGAAAAACTACCCGAGTTCCCTCTGCGTCTAAGCTTGTATAGAGACACTATCCTCTAATCGGGTTCTTACTGTTAATGCGTTGGAAGATTTGCAATGTATTACTTGCAAAATAAACTGCCTATTTGCACCTGCTACTAACATGGAGCAGCAGCTTTTCTGATAATCCCTTCAATGTTCTCTGGTGTTTTTAGCTCTGCTTTGGTCCAACCCCCCGAGGGGTCTGTGGGTTGGTAGATCTTTGAATCTCTCCACCAATTACCCGTTTTCAGCATGGGCTCCACACTTATGGGCTGCAGGTGCGGTTAGCTGCACAGTAGTGGTGGGATTTATTGTGCAAGAAACCGTTTCACAACATGTATTTGATAGAGATTATAATATATTATCTTTGGCATTTTTTGTATTGTGGGATTTGTTGAATTTTAACTGGTAAAAAAACGCCGTCCGGAGCTGCTCCAGCAAGCGCTGTGTTGAGCTTAAGGCAGTAAATATTACTGATTACAATCGTAATCAGTCGTAATCCTCTAAAATTAACATGAAAACACCCACATACGTCTGGTAAAGTTGGATGTAGCTGCAGCTGTGATTGTTCCTATATGATCGCAGTGCGGTGAGGACACAGACGTACACCAGACGAATATAATGCTCATTCAACCTTGTTGTATCCATCTCATTAGTCAGCCCTCATTAGTTAGTAGATACTTCGGTCCGCACTGTAGTTCATATATAAAGCAGTTATCTTTTGCACCATTCAACTTACGGTTGCACTAAAGTTATTTTAAAAAGGCCCATGTTGGTGTTGACACATTTCGTCTGGGTGGAGGGAAGTTGTAAGGGGGGATGGCTTTTTGTCACTCGTCACATCTTGTTTCTCCCATGCCCGTTGTCGTGAACAGAGCACCCAGGAGAAGCAGTCGTGTCGCGAGAAGAGCATGCAGGACCGCCTCCGTCTCGGTCACTTCACCACCGTCCGACACGGAGCGTCTTTCACGGAGCAGTGGACGGACGGCTACGCATTCCAGAACCTGATCAAGTGAGTGACGGCCAACGCCTGCTCCCATTTTTACACGAGCGCTGCAGCTCTAAACCTTGTTAAAAGGTCAGTGTAGTGTCTTTTGAGGGGATGCTTAAGTGGATCCTATGCATGCTCCACTTCACAGCCAGGGGCAAAGCATATGAAAGGCTTCTTATTGTCTGCTACAGTATGTTCCGCATGCCTAATTTCCTATGTACACTTCTGTGTAGGCAACAGGAGGGCATCAACCAGCAGAGGGAGGACATAGAGCGACAGAGGAAGCTGCTGGCCAAGAGGAAGCCTCCCAACCCTGCATCTCCCTCCCTCTCGGTTGCCTCCACTTCTGAAGCCAAGCAGCGGAAGGCTAAGGTGGTCAACGGCAACGACTCGGACCCGTTTCTCAAGCCCTCGCTGCCTCAACTGTGAGTACACTCAAATAGCTACACACTCAAATAGGGTAAAACATCTTTGAGTGGAGCTATTGGAGTGTGTCAATAGCTCCACTCAAAAATGTTTTACTCTTTAAAGAATGTGGGGCGATTGTCCCGTGTTTGTATCGTCTGTAGAACTCTTAGGCCTCTTTTTATATCTTTCCAATTCTGGAGTTTTCTTAAACTTGTCTGTCCCGCGATTTTGACTTGTACATATTTTGTCAGACTGACGCTCGCGGAGTACCACGAGCAGGAAGAAATCTTTAAGCTTCGCCTCGGACATCTGAAGAAGGTTGGTAGACGAAGAAAACAAAATCAATCTTTATCAAAGTTTATCTATTGTGTCAAAATGTCCTCTACATTTTAGAATGTAGTCAAAACAACGAATCGGTGCATTAATTCACTTGAATGGCTGCTGCAGTATTGCATTGTTTGATTATATACATGGGTTTTAAGTCCAAACGGGAAGAGAACAAAGTTCACCTGGTGTAATTCTACAGGAGGAAGCAGAGATCCAGGCAGAGCTGGAGCGGTTGGAGCGGGTGAGGAACCTCCACATCCGGGAGCTAAAGAGGATAAACAACGAGGACAGCTCTGCGTAAGTCCGCTCTACAAGTAGCCTAACAGTCGAGACCTGGGCTAAAAATCTGCTTCAATGCCAATGCACACGTTTAAGTAATGGAGGAGGCCTTTTGCAATTATAAGACATAAATCAAAGAATACTGAGGTGTGTTAAAATCATTTTTTTGATTTTGTTGTGCCTCCTTACAGTTTTAAAGACCATCCCACCTTGAATGAGAGGTACCTCCTGCTGCACTTGCTGGGCAGGGGTGGCTTCAGTGAAGTCTATAAGGTAACGTCTGCGTGGTCGGATTCCATTTTCTGTCCCCTCTCACATGAAGGATGTTTAAGAGACACGTGTGTGTGTGTGTGTGTGTGTGTGTGTGTGTGTGTGTGTGTGTGTGTGTGTGTGTGTGTGTGTTTTTTCTTGTCACACAGGCTTTTGACCTGTTTGAGCAGCGCTACGCAGCTGTCAAAATCCACCAGCTCAACAAGAACTGGAGAGAAGAGAAAAAAGAGAACTACCACAAGTAGGTTTCACACACACAAGTTAGGATGCATAAAGATGAAATGTTTCTCAGCAGCTGGCACACTACTTTGACATTTATTTCCTCTCAGGCATGCATGCAGGGAGTACCGGATACACAAACAGCTGGACCATCCCAGAATAGTCAAACTCTATGACTATTTCTCCCTGGACACTGACACGTGAGTCACCTTTGACCTCTCTCTGCTGCAGTGCTGCTTCTGTGACGTGTCCTGAGTTCATAAGCATTTTTACACCAGTTTGAAAACGACACGGTGCACCTTCGAGAGGCCCGACCCAGAGTACGTTTTTATTTTGCGTGTGAAGTTCTACACGTGAGCGCAAACATCACCGGCGGGTTATCAGATCGGGATGATCGTAAAAGCAGTTCCAAGAAGAACGTACAATTCAACGTCAACAGGCCGGACGATGGCTGTTTGATTGTTAGCTAAGCGCGTGAACTTTAGTCACCGTAGACGATGCTAGATGCTGTACGTCGGCTCAGATAAACCCATGAAAACATCTTCATGTTGGGTACAAAGGTTGAGCTCATTTAGTACCGTGCTAGCAAAGCTCTTTAGCTCACATTCCCGACTGGAAGCGTTAGTCATTCTCATTCAGTCGGAGAGTGCTGACCTACTGTGCTGACTCTGACCCTCGACCTCCATGCGGAGGAGGGGAAATTTCCCCCCTCAGCGTTCGGTCTTTTTCCGGCTCGTACATCGAACTGTCTGCGCTCTGCTCTCCCAGGTTCTGTACAGTTCTGGAGTTCTGTGAAGGCAACGACCTGGACTTCTACCTGAAGCAAAACAAGCTGATGTCAGAGAAGGAGGCGCGCTCCATCGTCATGCAGATCGTCAGCGCCCTGCGCTACCTCAACGAAATCAAGCCCCCCATCATCCACTACGACCTCAAGCCCGGTGGGTCACCGGTTTAAAAAAAAAACATATGTTCTGGATGAATTGCTATTGATGCAGAATAACAGACTCACTGTAGTCTGAAGGAATATGGGTCTTTTTTTTACGTGAACCTGATTACTGAGTCTCGTGATGTGATGTGCAGGTAACATCTTACTGGTGGACGGCACTGCGTGTGGAGAAATCAAAATCACAGACTTTGGCCTGTCTAAGATTATGGATGATGATAACTACGGTGTGGACGGGATGGACCTCACCTCACAGGGGGCGGGCACCTACTGGTAAGACACACACGTGTCCACAAACCAACATGGGCTGACAGTTACTTGCAATAAAGCCTCTTTTATGGTTAATCTGAAAGGTTCCACGCACTTTATCCGACTTCGATTCTGCAATATGTAACAAGAATACATTTCATAATCTTATGGAGAGTGGATTTTTTTGAATGAAATGAAATACTCATGAGAAGGTCAAGGAATCTGACTTCTTTGACATTGTATGAAATGTTTTTGATTCCGTGTGTGTGTCAGGTACCTTCCTCCCGAGTGTTTCGTGGTGGGGAAGGAGCCGCCTAAAATCTCCAACAAGGTGGACGTGTGGTCTGTGGGAGTGATCTTCTTCCAGTGCCTCTACGGCCGCAAGGTACGACACCTAAACGTCACGTCTTCCTCACGTTGGAGAAAACTGGGAGAAGGACGCTTGGACCGATTGTCAGAGGCACTTGGTGGTGATTGTGGACGTTTTGTTTTCCCAGCCGTTTGGTCACAACCAGTCACAGCAGGATATTCTCCAGGAAAACACCATCCTCAAAGCCACGGAGGTCCAGTTCCCTGCCAAACCACAGGCTAGCACAGAGGCCAAGGTAGAGCACACACACACACACACACGGCCTTGTATATGTGAGCTCAATACGATGTTTCAGAAATACCAATGATGAGAGATCAGATAAGGACGTTAGTGCTACAGTCCCGTGGTGTCAGAATAATCCGATGAAAGAGTTCCAGATCATATTGAATGGTTCATTTGATCGGTTTGCTATGTTTGTTCCTGTCAGCAAACAGGAAAACTGCTCTCAATGTCTTACATCAGAGTCGGCGGCAGTCGCGTGACTATTTGTGCCCCCCAGACGCTCCTGGCCGCCTTCCTATTTGGTGTTAGCGTTCGGGGAGCTCTCTCTTCAAGCATTCCTGATTTAACTTTCTCAAACATCACGGTCTATCAACAAGTCTATAAACTGCCCCATGAAGTAGCCCTACTGAGTGCTACTATTCTGTTTAAAGGGGGGAGGGGGGGGGTGCTTGTGTTAAAAGGATGACAACCTCAGTCTGAGGAAAGCGACAGCTGGCAATAGACTCATCGCTCTGTCCTACTCTCATAGCTATCGTCCTAATTTAAGTATTAGTGAAGGAAAACTTTTGAACATTTTTTAAATATCTTCACGGTCATCTTCAATGTTCAGCTATTTCAAATAACATACTTTGCGTCCATGTGGGCTAAAGGTGCAGTTTCTCTGAGTAAATATATATGGAGTCTACAAAAGCACACGGCACCCGCAGCTCTTTTTCTGACATCGCCTTCTGATCTGCAGGCATTTATCCGACGTTGTCTGGCTTACCGCAAGGAGGACCGGTTTGATGTTCACCAACTGTGCTCGGACTCCTACCTCCTCCCTCACATGAGGCGTTCAAACTCCTCCGGCGCCCTGCAGTCCTCCGCCTCATCTCTTTCTACCTACTGACTGGCTCTCTCGCATCATTAAAAGTAGCCTCTGGCTGATCTCAAGACAGGGTTGTTGGAATTTAAAGATAATGGATGGGGCTCTTTTTTCTTCTTTTTTTTTTCACCTGAGCTTTTCCCAAATGGATGAATAAGCAATAGAGCAGAGTTTAACTGAAAACACAAGATGGAAAGGAATGAAGAAGTGGAAGAAGGATACTCCCTTTGCACGGGTCGGCCAAAGTTGTGCCTCAGAACTCTACTGTGCAAGAGAGGGGAAGGAACATAACTGGAAAATAGGGGAGAGAGATAAAGCAGGGCAAGAATTGAAAGAGAGGCTCAGCATTGTTTGGACCCCGAAAAGAAAATGATGAATCTATGGACTTAATTCAATATTTCAACAACTGTAGGAGGTCTTCGATGCCGTGTGCAAGCCCACCTCTCTTGGCTCTACGCCACAATAAATCTCACAAGATGGCTCCACATTTCTTCAGCATGAAGACGCTGTTGTAGACAATATCTCCAGCAGCAGGAATCTGAGTGAAAAGAGCAAACGGGTGTGCGTTGCAGAGCGAGTATGAGTGACAGAGCGCCAAATGTCGGCCAGCGGCTCGTATAAACTAAACTGCACATCATTGTTACGAGGCACAAAATGAGGGCTACATTTGATGGAGTTATAATCCCATTACTGATAATCCCACTTGTACATGATGGGGTTCACTTGAGAGAGAGAGATGTTGTGACCTCCACGTAAAAAAAACAAAATGTCTGTGGTTGATTTGCACGTCCGGTCCGGGTGATCTGGTCTCGCACGTTTTGCCGTGAAGTACTGCAGCGCCGGCTTCTTCTGAACTAATCAGGCGCCCAAGTCCTCTGTTCACGTTTTTCTTTCATTGCAAGGCAATTCAGATCGACCGCTGTGTTTACAGGAAGTAGGTCTGTGAATCTGTCTTAATCACCTCCGTTGGTCAGGTGAGAGTCTTAAGTATTACAGTACCATGTCTTCATTGGTGTCCTCATCGTCCGGCCCGAAGATGGAAGCTGGACTGACCTGAGCGACTGCATCGGCTCTTACTGTACCGCAAAGACCTGGGACTGAATTTGTGTGTACATTTCACATGCAGGAGACATTACTCACTAGCAGATCCATAATAATGAGGCTTAGCCTTCCTCCTCAGCGTCTCACTTTGCTCTCCGTTCATTCGTGTCTCCTCCTGAAAGCTGTTCTCAGTTTGCTGCTATAAATTTTGCTTTTAGTTTGTGACGTGTGAATGGCTTTTTTTTTTTTTTGTTGCCTTGAATATGTGCATACTTGAACTGTGTTAAGAGGGAGCACTCATAACCCACCCCCACTGTGCTATTCGGGGTGTGCAACACACTTTAGTGCCACAAACACCAATGACCACGTGTGTTTTGGTTTAATTTTAGGTACAAGTCCAAACGAGGACATACGGGGGCACAGTCCCAGTGTGCTGTGTTGGGAGGAATGGTGTGTTGCAGCATCTGTTTACTGCCACTCCTAAATCAAGTGGATATATCCCAAATGTTTTCACCCTATAAATAAAACACTTACCTGTACGTGGTTGTGACATGACGAAGCCTCTGAACTCCGTCCGATAAAAGACACGTGGGAGTTAGAGGGCTGCAACTTGTGGGAGTTTCTTCTCTCTTTGCTTCTGACTGCTTCCAAGCTTGTGATTGATTTTTTTTTAAAAAAATTTATGTGCCAACAATTACTTGAACAAACCCACCAGGCATGTAGTTACAGAAACATTAAACTGCGGGAAGCGATGAAGCGCAGAAGGTGGTTATTTTCTTCCACTTCGGTGCGGTAAGGCCTAAAAAAACAACTCCTGTCCAATTGTTTTCTCCCTTCCATTTGAAGAAATAGCTTTAAAAAGTCATGGCAAGTGTAAGTGTTGGCATCAAAGGCTCGTGGTTAGTGACAACCTGGTGTCTACTGATGTGAATACAGCCAATAGGAATAAGATCAAATCACATTAGCAGTGACCTGAGGCCCCGCTGTTCAGATGCAATAAAGTTTCCCTGATAAGACTTCATGCTGCGGGAATCGTGTGGTAGATTATGCAGTGGGACTAGAACAAAGACATGTCGGTGTAATGGGACTTTGCGCCCCCCCCCCACACAGTTTACAAAAAGACCTTTTTGGACCCCATTCAATTTGTAGAGTTAATTATTATGTAATATAAAATACAAATATAAAAACGTACGTGTTGTTCATTCAAACAACCAGCCAGCAGCTGAACAGAACATATGTCCAAAAAATAGTAAAAAGAACGTGATAGAGTTGACTTCTTTGGTATTGTCTTGCCAAAGAAGCGTCTTTGACTGGAATGGACAGCATGTCAGGTTAGTGGAGCTAATGGAGCTAACGTGGCAGAGGTTAGCGATGTTATGTATAAAAGTACTCTTTCTTGGATAGTTATCTTATATTTACTCGAATGCTGAATGAACCCTGATTATTGTCGTCAATGACTTAACACCCGTCATCACAGCCCCATTTGCTAGCAGCTAGTTAGCTTTCCCGGAGATGAGCATTTAGCCTACAAACCAAGTGACGTCAGCTCCGGGATTTCCTCCTACGTTGCGTTCAAAGACCAAATCTGGGCCCCATTTGAAGAAATAAACGCAACACCCTGCGATGGGAAACTCCCATAAAATTGCAATAATCCGGCCGACGCAGAGATAGAAACCGAGCTCATCTTGCAATTTTACACGTGAAATGCAATTATATACATTGAACATTGTAAATAATATATATGTTTTGATTGATTGACGTGGGAATAGTACAGCGGCCGGGCATATTTTGAAATTATATACATCAAAACATTATTGTAGACTGATCCAGGAGCCATCATCCTAAACATGTTTCTTTGTATTTTAAAATGTTGAAATATTATGTTTGCCTTTTATTAAAAAATGTTTTTGAAAAGATACAAAATTCATCCGAAACAGGACCATTGCAAATCGTAGTGTGTTGTCGCCACCTACTGGTGGAGTTAGTTATTTCAGACCTGCGCCACCTTATCAGGAACTAAATTGTGCTACTTGTGCTATTGGTCCCTCAGTCACAAAATGAGATTTCAAGTATTCAACAGAGAGACACAGGTTGTTTAGGACGAACTGAGTCCAAAATAAAGGGGGTATTGGAGGAATAGGCCTTCAGCATGAAGCGGACTGTGAACCAGCTCATTGCACTGTTTTTGAAGCTGCAGTACAAGAGGCCTCATGAAGCACTTTGTGTAGTAGACGGACACCTCGTCTCATTCAAGCTGTAGTAGTCACACACTTCATCACATAGAAAAGCAACATGTTAATAAGCTTATCTCTGAGGTGTAAATCTGGTAGCAGAACCTCCTGTTGGTGTCTTTATATTGGATGAATAGGGCCTCATTTCAAAGGGGATGGTGCTGCAAAAAGCCGGTCTGGATGTCCCTTTATACGAGTCCACAGGACCACGGGCACAGGGGATTGTCACACAGATTGTCTCCTCGGGTCTGAGGTTACGTGACACTTTTCAGGAGACGATGCTGGTCCGACGTCCATCTTGTCGTCCATTGTCGTACTGTCTGCTGTCACGCACAAACCGCCAAGTCAAATTCCTTGTATGTCTGACACATTATGCCAATACATTTTTCCTGATTCCTGAACAGGATTGTTAGTTTTCTCAGGAGAGGGAAATGGAATAGTACTAATCTACTCTTATTTTTAAAACTAGGACTGCTTACCTGTAACAAAAGCCTGCAGCTTATTTCTGTCTGACAGATGGCAGCAAAGCACAAATCTACCAACGTGATTGTCAAAAAGTTTGAACCAAAGTGATTTCTGTCATCTATTGTTACCGATGCCACATGTCAGCGTGGTGTGACACGTAACTGTCACACATAGAGGAATGTTTAGTGTGGCAAACACAATACACGACCAGTTAATATTGGCTTTAAAAAACAAACAGATGTGTTACTTCTTCAAAATATAGAAAGTAAAAAAATAAATTTAAAAAAGTCCAACTTAAAATCCAAGGACTGGCTTTGGAACCTCACCTGTGTGTGTGTGCGCGCGCGCGCCTCGCTCCTTATTTCTGGCGAACTACAACTCCCAGCATTCAAAGCGGGAAGCCTTTGGAAGCGGTTCCTCGGCTCTCTCGGTCCAGGCTCGGACGCGGAGCCGCATTTTTCCGCTCCTTTACAGCCGGATAAGGCTTTTTGAAATAACGAGCCGAACAGCGTCATCATGGGCAACGGCATCAACAAGGTACGAGAAGCTGTCCGTCCTCACGCGCACGACGGCTCGTTGACGAGGAGGTGTCCGAGGAGGTGTCCTCTCCTGGAGACTCTTCCAGGGCTTTATTAATAGAAGTTGAGCTGATTGGATTTGGACGGGATTCGTTTAGAGTAAAGAATCCAGCCTAAAGCACGTCAACTAAAGTGGTCCAAGTACATGAATGTTTTGTATGGTGCTGATTTTTTTGTGAAGTGTTTTTATTTTTTATAATCATATATAGTCACTTCCCAACTGCGATGTTATTCACTGTTTCCTGTGACTACATTAATGAGCTTATAGTTAACTCTGCTATGAAGCCAACTGCCCCTAAATAAATATACCACAAAAAGATGATTTCTTCTTAATGGAACGTATTCCTGCTCTCACAGGTGCTGCCTGACCTGTATTTGGGGAATTTCAGAGGTTTGTGCTTTTTATTTTAATAAAAATTAGCTTTGGTTCTTTCATATGAAAGCAAAACCGCATTATCTTGCGGGTTTGTGGTGTCAATTTTGTTTTTCCGTCAGATGCAAGAGACCGGGAACAATTAGCCAGACACAACATCACACACATCCTGTCGATTCATGACAGCGCAGCTCCGATACTCCAGGTGAGAAGCGCTACGTTATTAACATCTTTGCACTGGTGTGCTACTGTCATTCCTTATTAATAGGTCGTGCAAAAATGTCCCAGCAAATGGAGCTGAACGGGTGTTACTGCACATGACCTGAGCTCTCAGACCGTAAACTGGTCTGGCAGGTCGGTCGGGAATCCGCTTCATGTGATGGTTGTGACAGTGTTGTGGAAAAATGTAAGTCAACAACAGTTGGTTCGGTCAGCGTGCTGTTGTTTGCCTGCGTGGGTTTGAGAGTAGGCGGTTGTTCTACATCCAGAGCGGACTGCGCCGCCTGGCTTCATTTATTTATCTTTCAAAGTCATTTCATTTGATGTGAAGCCACAGCCGCAAGTGCAGCTTATTTCCACCCGTTTTTTAAAGGAGGGACGCACAGGTGCTACGAATCTGCACAACAATTTGGTTTGTTCCTCCACCAACAAAAGCCCACTTTGTGTCCACCATCAGAAGCGCACACTTGGGCTGCTATTGATCAGTGGCCCGCTGACCGGTAACTGGTGGTACTTTGTCCCTCAGGAGATGACCTATCTCTGCATTTCAGCTGCTGACCTGCCCTCACAAAACCTGTAAGTACCCAGATGAAACGCAAGCAACACCAGCCAGAACAACGACAGGCTGAGAGAGGGAGTGTAAAACATCAATGTAGGTGTCTGAGGTTCGTTTTTTCCTCAAGCTGATGTGTAAATGATATGCTTTCACAAGTTCAACATAGCTGTGAACCTGATCACAGTTACACCGGTGCATTCATCTGTGTTTTTTCTTTTTTTGACACGGTTGACGTGTACAAATCCACACCGCCGTTTTTTTTAATGTAACGCAAGAGGAAACGGAGGGAGACAAATTCCAGAAAATCAAGGTTTGAACCTGTGTCCTCTCCGAATGACACCGTGCTTTGGAGGCCCTTTTAAATGCACGTGCAAAAATCCAAATTCACATATCAGGAGGCCTTTTTAGCAGGAAGGAAGTCTCGCAGCTCAGTTCTGCAGTTTGAACGCTGTGGTTGGTGCTGTGGCTCTATTTATATGCACCACCCCTCCACAAATTTGCACATGGACATGCACGTGTGTGCGTGTGTGTGTGTGTGTGTGTGTGTGTGTGTGTGTGTGGGTGTATATATATATATATATATATACACACACGCTAAAGCCATTGTCGCCGTTAGGGCCCCAGGTTGCCTCGCGCCTCTTCGGTTCAGGCCGCGAGGTGTTTGAAACCTGTTACGCGATATATGACACCAACGTGACACGAACACACCCCCATAGTTGTCCCTCGTGGGATTAAAAAAAAAAAAGAAGTCAGGTACAAAATGTTTTTTTTTTGTCCACTTTAGATGAATGCTGACGCTCTGAAGTGCCTGTAAGGACAGAATAATCCGTTATCTTGCGGTGATCCTTTAATGTTTTAACGTGGCCCATTGTAACTGAGACTTCTATGCTCCACAGAACTCAGCACTTTAAACAAAGCATAACGTTCATGCACGAGTCCCGCCTGAAAGGAGAAGGCTGCCTCGTTCATTGGTGAGAGCAAGACGCCTTGTTGTACCTTGACCGCAAAAGCCAGATTCAAGGTGTCACACTCACACAAACAGGAGACGCCACAACAGGTTTTCTAGTTGTGTCAAATGGAAACGTTAAATTCATGCTGAGACAAAAACACCTGAGATCAACCAAGTAAACACGTGAACTCATGTGTAACGGCTGCACAGAGGGGATTAAATGATAAGCTGAAGCCTATTCTTGAACTTCCTAAAACGGAGTACAGTAACCAGAGTGAGACACATTGTGTTTGTGTAGTTTGTAGCTGACCGTGTGTTCAGTGGGGGAAAGTTATATTTGGTTAGACAGAGGGTCTTCTCAGAAATACAGGGGAACAAGAGGCTATTTATAAGCTGTGCACTGCTACAGCGTTCTTCACTGTGCATTAAGTGTTAAATCAGTTTTTACTCCTCAGCGCCGACGTTTAACGAGCAATTGTTGGATTTAATTGTGCGTGTAGTTTGGATGTTGAATCCTGCTGTAGATATCTACATACCGGCAGTCTTTGGGCTGTTTTGCATACGTTTTCAATTAGGGTGAGATCCGGTTTCAACCGCTTATACTATTTTACAACCACATTTGTAATCTGGAAGTCTGTATTTGAATCTAGTTTTACACATATTCAAGTTATCTAACTATTTTAATGTTTTGATAAAAGTAATTCCTGATATTTGATTACTTTTGAATTCCTTTCTTCAAGCTGAAATGCTAAACCTGATAAATACTGAACGTAAACTTTGAGCCAGCAGTTTAATCCTGAATTTTGTTTAAAAGTCACACTTGAATTAAGAATTCAACAGAGCTGCCGCACACGTATTGTATTGTATTGTCATGCAGGATTTCTTCTTACTCTAAAGAATATACTACCACTTCCAGCTTGGCGGGCGTGTCCCGCAGCGTCACCCTGGTGCTGGCGTACATCATGACGGTCACGCGTCTGGGCTGGCAGGAGGCGCTGGCTGCAGTGCGGGTGGTCCGGCCCTGCGCCGGCCCCAACCTGGGCTTCCAGCGCCAACTCCAGGAGTTTGAGGCCACTCAAGCGGATCAGGTCAGACGCAGCACGAGAGAGAGAGAGAGAGCGTGTGGAATATAGCATTACATGACATTGATTATGGTGCGGAGAGATTGCAGCGTCAGTATTTAGTGTCCATTGTCATCAAAAATTACATTTTTTTTATGTTATTTTCCTGTAGTTCAGAGAATGGCTACAGAAGGAATACAAGGACAACTCCTTCAGTGATGAGGCTGATCTACGTGACTTGCTCGCTGCGGCGTCTAAAGTCAATGGTGACTGGGTGGAAAAGCAGGAATCTACCCCACCCGGAGACCTCTGATCAGACCTTTCGATGGAGATAATAAGATGATCCCGCCGATCGACACCACGGCGCTCAGGACCCATCTGGAGGTCTACGTTTCCTCCAGAGTGTGCTCCTGTCACGATGTTTATGCCCCCGAGTATCATGGACATTAACACTGAAAGAGACAATTGACACCTGAGGCAAAGATGCCGCTTTAGCTTTGGTTGGTGTTTATGCAGCTTTATCTTTTCTTCAAATGTATGGATGGATGTTGTTGTTGTTGTTGTTGTTTTTTTTTGTACTGTGTCATGATGATTTAAAACCACGTAGTTAAATGAGTAAAGAAAAAGTGCTTTGTGAAATCTTTGTCGACTTGACGGTGATAAGAAAACACGTGCTGTGCCCTGTTTACGTTTCCTGGTCGTCTTCCTGTTGGTCATATCATACATGTGATATCCCAAAAAACACCAACCTCACGTTATTTTATCACACTTTCTTCAACATTGTCTTAATAGTCAAGTTAGAGCATTAATAGCCTCCAGTAGCAGATAGCTGGGCTGCACGTGCAATGCCACTGGAGGGCAGTGATACTATAGCGGCATAAAACATATTTAAATTCAGCCATGTGTCTCCAGACGTTGGTTCCTCGTGCATCTATTTGATATTTACCGAATCACAACATCATAAAAATCATATTTAGTAGTGGAAAAAAAAAGGTTGCAGGCATATTCGTGATTTTTCTTTTTTTTTTAAAGACAAAATATATTTGGGGAAATTATTTTTGTTAACAATAATCTCTTCTCGGGTGACTTCTGCATTCCGCGTGGTGTCTGCTCAGGGTGTCGCTGGAGGGATTCCCCACCAAAGTGCTGTGCTGGCGGCGAGTTTCACAGAATTGAGTTTCACAGAATTGAGCGCATCTCCTCTTGAACTTCTCAGAGCGCGAGAAGCTCCTCCCTGCAACAAATCAAGATGTGATAAAGGAAACCGAAGAGCTTCAAAAGGGATTGCAGCGGGGAGAGCTCGCATGATCAACGGTAAGCGGCAGCAGCTTTAAATGAAAGACCGTATCGTCAACATTGAATTTAATAAATATTTGTAATGTACTGATTAGCCCCAAATAGCTTCAGTCAAATGCAAAATAGTAAAACCATTCATCTTTGAATTTCTAGCATTCACATAAATGTTGAATCTTATTGGTTGAAGGTTTAAGAAAAACATTATCAGCATAGATTCATTCGTGCGTGATTATATTATTTCTGTTTTCTCTTAATGCGAGTGTCTGAAATGAGTGACATCTTTTTAACAGAGAGGAAATTTTGACCTCTACCCGCAAGAGCAATCAGCAAGAATAAATGTGTCAAAACCATCATTAGATAAAATGTATTCAAAGGGATTTTTAATATTACAACTACGGGGCTGCTGAGAAGTTACGCGGAGCCCAAACCAACACTGCTGTATCTTCTCTAAAAGCGGTGCAGTTCGCACTACACATGAACCTTCTTGGTTTCATTTCATTGAGTGAATCATTTAACTCTGTTTACAGTTGCGTCGTGCACTTTTGTCTCATTCCACCTCTCAGAAATGAACCTTGATGAGGACACTGGCCTGTCAGTCAGCTCCGGCAATGGGAAATTGAGACAGTGGCTGATCGATCAGATCGACAGCGGCGTGTATGCCGGCCTGGTCTGGGAGAATCACCAAAAGAGCATCTTTAGGATTCCGTGGAAACACGCAGGCAAACAGGACTATAACAGAGACGAGGATGCAGCGCTCTTCAAGGTCTGACCATCCCGTCCCACGTCTCCTCACGCTGCACCTGCAGCCTCCAACAATTCCACCATTTCCAACAGTTGTAATGTCATTACGCATCCATTCTTCAGAGGCCTAATATTGTACAATTGTTTGTACATAACCGTGACTAAACAGGACGTGTGTATTAATCGAATCAATGATTGTTTCAGGCATGGGCGATGTTTAAGGGAAAACATAAGGAGGGAGTCGATAAACCAGATCCCCCCACGTGGAAAACCAGACTACGCTGTGCTCTTAATAAAAGCAACGACTTTGATGAGTTAGTGGACAGAAGCCAACTAGACATCTCGGACCCCTATAAAGTCTACAGAATCATCCCAGAAGAAGCCAAAAGAGGTAAGTGAATGTAAACAGTCGTGTATTTTGTGAGAACGGCTTTCAGCCGTCTGAGGCGTCAGATGTAACATGGGAAGTAAAATATTGTTTACAGTTGAAATTTGACAGTTTCTAAATCTAAAGGCCGTCGCAGTGGTTCATTTGCATACTTTCTGCTTTCACATAGATTCTGACATTGTAGAAAGACTATTGGTAATTTTTGAACCTACACATGCAGTTGATTCGGATGCGGCAGGAAGCACAAAGGAAGCCAGAGCATGTACCAAAAAAAGGCCCATGCTTTTTTTAGAGGGCTTCGGTTACTAAGTGCAGGGTGCACAACACAATCAGGCGACCTCCAGCCTTGCATAACTAAGTCTGTGCCATCACGCAACAGCTTTTGTCACAGAAGAGCAATTTTTGCTCTCTAAGCATGACGATATGAAATCAACAGGATTCAGCCTGTTGCGCCCACTTTGCAAAACAGTCAAATGAAGAAAAACAGGACGTCAGAAAGGCACAAGTTAAACTACAGTTTGACTATTCCAAAAAGAATTAGGTTAGTTGGGTAAAATTAATGTTTTTAAATCAAAGCACTGACTGTATTGTGGACCCATTATGCCTTTCTGTTTTTTCTTTGCACAGGAATGAAGACAAGTATGGAGGAGACACCATCACATGTAAATCCACTTGGCTATATTCCACCGTATCCGCCTTCCCACGACCAGGTCAGCGCGCTGTTCTCGATCCCAAAACTTAATGGGCAGTGTAACTGATTGCAAACATCTAAGCCATCCGCGCGGTTCTTTTCCTAAGGCCTATATGGCGTCTCAGGAGAGACGGGACTGGAGGGATTACTCACCCTCAGAACAGCAACCTCTCGCCCCTCCGCATCAGCACGGGTCACATGCGGAGCTGCAGTACGGTCAGTTCCACTACCCATCATCGTTCGGCCGGCCTTGGCCCGGGTCACACTCCGAAAATGGTAAGATTCATGCAGGAATATTAAAATTAGGATATAATCATTTCATCTGAGTGTGTATTTACAGTACGATGCGTCTCTTATCTTCCATCACACCTGGTCTATTTTACATTTTGCAACGCAACAAATTTTATTTGTGTTATTATCATTAGAGCCATCATAATGGCAGCACAACATATTACTATTGAGCCATTATTTAATGAAATTACTAAGCAGCAGCATTAAACTGCCTTATTTATTAATTTGACCTTCTCTTCAAGACAACATCCTATATAATGATCAAATTATGACCATTATCCATTTGATGTATTCTGCACAGGTTTTCATCTTTCCTTCCACACCTACTTTTCAGAGTCCCAACCACCTGTGTATTCAATCAACCCAAACAATGACATGACAGGTAAAGAAGATGCAAAGACTGATGCGCACAGACCTTCACCCACATGCTGGTTCACCTCTTTAAAAATGTACAACTCACTTACTTCCCTATTTGGAATAGCAGCAGGCCAGTGAATTGGATGATGATGGTTTAAAAAGTGATTCTCAGCATACCAATATTTTGTAGATTCGGCCTAATATTTTCCTTTTTCCGGTTTATCCTCCAGCTTGTTGTTTCAGATCCGCTAAACTCTCCCGTCTTTCTTCGCAGATTGCAGCCTCCACGTGTCCCTGTACTACAGAGAGTCTTTGGTGAAGGAGGTCACCACCACCAGCCCAGAAGGTTGTCGCATCACCTCCCATTCCTCCTCTTCTCCATCCTCCTCTTCCTCCTCCTCTTCCCCGTGCCAAGAGGACAAGTTTCACAGCGGGGCAGAAGTGGTCCTTTTTCCCTTCCCGTACCCGGAGTCTCAGCGGCAGGGCGCTGACATGCTCCCCAGCGTACTGGAGAGGGGGGTGCTCCTGTGGATGGCGTCTGATGGCTTGTACGCTAAGCGCCTCTGCCAGGGACGGGTTTACTGGGAAGGGCCGCTGGCTCCTTTTATGGATAAACCCAACAAGCTGGAGAAGGAGCAACCGTGCAAACTGTTCGACACACAGCAATTCCTGATTGGTGAGCAAATGCGTGTGTCCGTTGTGCTCCGTTCACACCTGCAGCTTTTGGAAGCGATGGTAGAAACACATGCGGTGTGATGTAGTTCAGTCAGACACTGATCAAATATAACTTTTCCTATTAGGCACATTTAAATTGATCAAATAAGTTTTTAAATATGACAAACACTTTATATGGGATGTGAACAATGTATTAGTTTACGCACTGCTCGTACAGGCTGGTTACGTAAAGTGTGCATTAGATCGCATGTTTTGTATAGAAAAGAAACATACTTGTGTTGTAATATAAAGTATTTAATAAAGACGACTCCACTGCAGTAGTATTCCAAAATGATGAAGCCCAGTAACCAAGTAAATATACTTACAGCACAGGTGTTTATTCGGTATGTTTAGCCCATAGTTGAAGGTGTCATTGTATTTCCGTATCTATTTTATTAACTGATGTTTGTACAGTTGGTTGGTGTTTAAGACTATTGCAACTGTTAAAACATCAGCAACATCAGGTTTACAGAACGTTTCCCACCTTGTTTTGATTTTTTAAACCAAAAAAACGTTTACAACTTTTCAGTTCAGTCAAGCTCTAATTTAAACCACTTGACTGCGTCATGTGGAGATTTCTGTCCACCTACGTGAATAGTTGCATTTTTTTCGTTTACTAATCAAAATAACTAGTGCACCAAAAATCTCTCCGCCACTGTCCATCTACAGAATGACGATGATCGCGGTCGTGTCGATGGGAGATGTGACGTTAATCATAACGACGGAGGACATTATGTAGTTGCTTTAGCTGAAGCGCTAAAAGGCTTGTCAGCTCTTCAGCAGGGGGGGAACGAGTGTGTGAAGTCCCCACCCACCGGCTGTGGTCCAACACCCTCCGTGACGAGATGCTGCTTTCTGACACATTTCACACTGAAATTTCCATGGTCCACACCAGTGCTTTCCAGACACTGATAAGAGAAAGTGTTTCTTCTAAAAGGGGATATGCTGGTGTGTGTGTGTGTGTGTGTGTGTGTGACTCCTCTTCCTTTGCTTGCTCTTCTTCTTTCAGAGCTTCAAGAGTTTTCCCATAATGGCCGCCATTTGCCGAGACATCAGGTAGTGCTGTGTTTTGGAGACGAGTACCCCGACCCGCAGCGGCCGAGGAAGATGATCACAGCGCAGGTAAACGTCCACCAGCTGCTTTCTCAGCTGGCAGAAAACATGTTTTAATCAACAACAGAAATGTTACAACCGTTACAATAGGAAAAATGGAGCACATATTTGGGTAAATTAAGATCTTATTCTGCATTTTTGTTTACTATGTAAATGTTTAATCTCTGTGAAAAGCAAAGCAAGAGAGCAATTGTTGTAATAAAAAATAACATAAACCCTTAAAGACCATAAATTAAGGCGTCATTGGTGTGTAGCAGAATATGCACCTTTTAACACTCTTTTTCTATATAGCTTTAAATCCTGTTCTCTTCTTTCACGTGTATCAATTAGCAGAGCATGATCATTCGCAGTAACGCACATCATTCATACGTGCACCTAATTTTCATTTTAGGTGGAGCCGGTGTTTGCCAGAAAACTGGTGTACTGCTACCAGCAGAACAACGGCCACTACCTGCGGGCCTTTGATCACCTCCTGGAACAGAATCCATCCACAACTATCGACTATTCGCCTCAGAGGCCGTTACAGCATATTCAGGAGTGAGAAGCGCGCACGCACACACACAGACGCACACAGACGCACACATAATATGCTTGAATGTGAATATCATCCAGCGAGCGTTTCTTGCGACTGCAGTGTGCCGTGAAGGAGGGAAGCTGGCGTGGATCAGAGGGGTAAAGATGGGGAAGACCCTGTTGTTTTTTACTCGCACACCTTTTGCGCGTCGTCGTCTTTGTGTCTGTGACTGTAGAGTTTTTCTACACGTATTATTGTGACAGTGTGAAGGATGCGGTTTGAGGGTGAGGGTACGAGGGGAGCAGAGGGCGAGTGAAACAGGAAGTACTCGCACAGGTGCACAGGAAGAATGGTCCCTAAGACAAACACTGATATGTGAAAGGGACAAAACGGAGCATGATTATTTATTGCTTATTGGCAGTGGACAGTGTGCTCGGTGCACTCGCGCGCCGAAGAGGCACAGAACATTTTAAACTTAGTCGACACGGCTGCTTCTGTGAATCACTGTTTTTTTATTTAATAGACATGTTGATGAGCAAAATAGAAAAGAAATTGCAGCGTGAGAGAGTGTCAACCATATTACGGTCCCTTGTGAGACCTCAATTCCATTCTGGTGTTGCAGTGGAGGAAGCTTCTCGGCCGTATGTTGCAGGACGACCTTGTGAAAATCTACTGATCAGCTGAATCTGAAAAGTGATTCCTTTAGATTACATCAATCTGACAAAAACAAGATGTAAGTTTATTACTTGTAAATATACTCCTTTCCTCTATGCATCGTTCATTTCTTGCTTTGCTTTTAGCTTAGCTTAGTTTTACTTCTTTAAGTGCCAAAGACGATCTGATTTGAAAACTGAGCCTCTAACAACTCAAGTAAAGAAACTTCTGACGAGTTTTTTTTTTTTTTAAGTAGGCTTCGTATTGCTTGGTCACAAGCAAAAGCATTGGCTTACAGCATGAGAGGAAACACTTTGGCCTGAGGGTCCGTGTCACCAGAAACATGGACATGAGACTGAAGTAGACTGGCTGGAAAAAAATCACACTCATCTCGTAACTTGCAAGGAAACTGCACCTCATAACCTGAAACTTTAGGTCTCACAAATGGGAAGAAAAACTACTTTTGTGGTCGGCGTGCGGGTCGAGCCGCGGCGGAGCGCCCTGGTTCCCTGCTACTGTTCACACACTGGATGTGACGTCCAGACCAAACTAAAACCATGACAACCTAGCGAGGAGTGTGTGTATCTCGTAGCACATGCATGTCCGATAGGGAGGACAATGCAACTCCTCCAGCGGCTGAAGTAACAAAGGCTGCAGCAGAAAGGATAAACATTCTGTTATGTTTTTCCTCTGTGGTCCAGAGTTTCGATCTTTGCTTTTACTTCCTTCTCACTTAAACCACATCACTTTCACAATAGCTTCAAAAGTCCGACCAAAATCACAGGCAGGAATGTTTTGTGTGTGTGTGTGTGTGTGTTTTAACCATAAATAAGATTCTTCTAACATCTTAGTCTGATTTGGTGCTTGGGGAAATTTTTGTTGATGATGATGATGATTTACAGACCCATTCACAATAAAAGCAAACTAACTCCATCTACAGTATGCTGTTATGGTAAACATGCGTGGGTCTGTGTCTGTGTGTGTTTGTGTAAAGAGTGTGTGTCACATCCGTGTGAGTGTGTGTTTAGCAAAGGGCCATCCGCATGTGTGCGTCTCCATGTGTGTTGGTGGGTACACATACGTGTCACCAGTTGCACCATTACTGTTATCAGGAATTGACATTTATGGACTCAGGATGAAACATGTGACTTCCCCTTTTACAACATCAGTGACTCAAACACACACACACACACACACACACACACACACACAGCCATCCCATTAAAAACACTTTCCATGGTGTATTTGCGAATGTATTTAATGCATTATAAACATACGTAATAATATCCATAATGATTTTAATAATAGTAATAACTGTATAAAAAATAAGACACATCAAACACATAAAAAGGCATTTTAAAAAGACTTAAAAACTCAAGTATTATAATTCTTCATAATGAGTAGTCACTCTTTAGTTATGAGTATGCATGTATGTATTATAAACGTGCATAAATGAAAGTCTTGCTGAAAGGATAAACATGATTTTATTTGAAATAAACACATCAATCTTGTATTTCTCACGCCTGCTGTTTTGTCTTTGAGCTCTTTTTGATTTTCAAACAGGGAACAAGGGAGAAGGAGACAACTACATTTTGGTAAAACAGAAGGCGAAAAAAAGCATATTCACACATTCTTGGTGTTTCCCCTTCTGCAGGAAGCCACATCACTTGTAGTCGGGCTTCAGTTTTTCCGCCTCTGTGAGCCGTTATTTCAAGTGACATCGTCTTATTCCTTCAGTCCAATCTTTGAAAAGGACAGTTTGTTTTTCTGCTGCTCCCAATTATTGCTAAAAGAAGTTTTTCACAGAATTTAAACTACCGTTGAACACATCAAAATGCAACACTTCCTCCTCACCAAGTGGCTATGGTTAATCTGTCTGTGCTGAGACTGGGACATTATTAACGTGCACTTCCGAAATGATTGTTGGTTTGTGTATCTATTAATAACCGATGAACCCATCGAGGGTCTGAGGCGAGAACAACTCAAGCTTCATCACAATAGAACTGAAGCAATGATTTGCTGACATCTGCTGGTTACTGTGGTTGTTAAACTCTTGCGAAAGTTAAATATGAAAAACAAAAGCTTCCGCTGCAAAAAAATACTGTTCATTTCTAAAAAATATTTATCTATCTCTTAGGTTGAAATCTCTGAGCGTTATCGAACATCTGATGGAGGAGTCGTGATTTAATCCAAACTCGTCAGGAACCACTCGGCCGATACGCAAAATCCTCCACACAGTTCGGGTTGTCTATTCCGCCCCAGAGCTCCCGTTAAGAAAATAAATACAACAAAAGCTGCTCACTGAGAACATCCTACTAGACTCACAGTCTGTGACCCCGGCTGGTGGAGGTCCGACCTTTTGCCCCGCAGCTGATGACAGCCCTGTTTCACCTTAGTCGACTCTGACTCGTTGACGCCGTGGAAAGGAAGGTGTTGACATCGTTCTACTTTCTGGCGAACTTTGACCCCCCCCGAAATGATGTTGCAAATCCACCAATCGTCGCTCTCGTACCCACCGCCGATGTCATGTGTGTTGTGAAGCAGTGGTTGACAAATGACCATATTAAGACTTAAGTGATGAAAATAAGGACCAATAAACATACTTGTGTAGGAATAGCTGTAATGTCACTATCATTATATTATCTTTATTGTTATCATCAATTCTCAGGCATATGATCTACAAGGCATGAGAATTGCTCTCCTCCACCAGTAACCGTTATCGCCACAATTAATCAGTCTTGAATTGTTGTCAGATCTCTGTGTTTATCCCAAGACTCTTCAGATAACAACGTACTTGACCGAATACATTATGATGGCAGGAAGGCAATAATAGTTGTCGGATAAGGAGCAGCAAAGTAATGGAAAACAATCGGATGACTCGGGACGCCAGTGTAAACAGAAAAGGCCGATAAGCAAAACAATGTGGTGGTCTACCTGGCTCTGGTGCAAATAAGGCCGGGCTGCTTGTTTGTTTGTTTTGGCCGGGAACCAGCGGCGGGTTTTGGAGATAAAGGATGTTACGCTATAACGTTGTTAGACGGAGTAGGAAATGCTGCATTTTCACCATAATCGGGATTTCCTCCTGAGACGCACAACAGAGGAACGGCTGTTAACAACCAACCGCAAAGCGAGTGAAATGACCAGCAGGGAGTGATGTGTCACTGGTCGGCTGCTGTTTGAGCTGGAGAGAGTGGAAATAGGAATTCCACACATGCAAAGTAACAGCATGATGCTTTCACCAAACCCTTTAATCCCTGTTAATGGGAAATGCCTCAACGTTCAAAAATACACCCACACCTGCACACACACACACACACACACACACACTGAATTATGAATTCCCCCGAAATGATTAGGACTCATTAACATGACCTAACGATGACGTCTCTGGACGTTCCTCCTGAACTGTTCCTATTAAAATAAAGAGTTTGTGGCTTCCCCTTCTTTGCTTTTCCATCTCTGCCAACACGGTTGCTTTGTTCCGTGTGTCAGGTGACGGGAGGAACCGGCGCTGACGATGGAGAGGCGGAGGCGGTCGGAGTGACAGCTCGCGGCCTCCGTTGCGTGAGAGTGACTCGGGCTGTTCTCAGACTCTGTGTGGTCTGGGTGTGTGGTCTACAGCTGACGGGCAGGGAGGAGGACGGCAGGACCCTCTGAGTGTGTGTGTGTGTGTGTGTGTGCGCGTTGATTTGCTTACTTTATCCAGAGTCGGGTCTGGGCTCTCTACAGCCGTGGCTCGACTAAAAAGCTCTGCCTTCCGCCACTCGGCCTGAAGGGTAAACACACGCTGCCACCACTGTGACGCGGCTCGTCTATGGATCATTTTATCCAAGTATACGTATGAGACCTGATAGACCTCTTCGTTAAAGGGGCTTTAGCTCGTGTGTATTTTCTGAAACTACAACCTTGTGTAGAGTAATTGTTCCTAACATTATTAGATTAGAAATTGACACACAATTCCTTAATTGTACATACAGAGTGCTTTTATAGACTTTTAGCATATTTGCACTGTCTATTTTGTTAGCATTTTCTATAGTGCCTTATTCCTTTTTCATTTGGTCTGCAGACGGATCCAATAAAGTAAAACATAAGCAACACAGGCCTTTCAAAGGATCGTCTTAAAAATCATCAAGTGCAGATTCGCAGCGAAGGACGTGAGACCTCAAATAACCTCTGTAACGCTTCCCTCCTGCACACATTCAAACATTGGACTGCTCCACACTCTTCTCCCTCTCCCACAGCGATCTCAAGGGAAGGCCATGTAACGCAGCACTGCTGGGAACGCGCCATGAAAATATAAATACAACCTCGCCGCATTTCAACCATGTAAATAAACAGGGCCACCCAAATTTCCAATTAGATCTGGTGTGGAAGGCCGGAAATGGGGTAGACACGAATAGGCCGCGCCCCCTCCTCTCACCCCTGCGGTCCAGGCCCAGGTAAGGGGGGGGGGACCAGGTCCAGGTCCAGGTCCAGGTTGCGGACACGGGGCGAAGGCAGTAGAGAGGGGAATATGCCGTGCAACATCCCATTCACCCTCCCTCCCCCAACTCCACTGTGCTCCTCCCCATGCGGACATGGAAAGAATGTTGGGATTTAATGCTTATACCTGTGAAATCACTATAATCTTGGTTCATTTTTTTGGTTCACTTGTCTTCACCCCCCACCGGCGTTGCTCGTTGGCTCCGCTCTTAAACACCAAAGCCCTTAAACACCAGCTCGCCTTATCAGTTCCATCGAGGCCATCAGGCAATTCCTCTCCGCCTGAAATGAAGCATTCTCGGTGTATTCCACGTTTTCTTGGAACAGCGAGGCCCCCGTTACTACGCTGCTAAGCCCCGAGACCACCCAGTGGCTGGGTGGTCTCGGGGCCGCAGGGCTGCGCACGGCAAGGCCCGGGTTGTTGTTGAGATAAGAAAGACAAGCTTTTCTCTGAGGACGGATGGCGATCTGAGAGAGCGTAGCGAAGGCTCTCCTGATAGCTGCCGGCGGACTCCCTCCCATTTGGGTCAAACTCGAGATGGCCCGTCGATCGCTGCTTCGGCGGACGCCGGTCGGCGAACATCGCGGGGGGCCTATTAGTTGGAATAAACATACAATTTAGGGAAATCACCCCAGAGAGTCAAAGAGCTGCGTAATAAAAGTCACTTTCACTCCAGATATGGGGTTCGGATATGTCGCCACATTTCTTGATGACTTTAATTCACCCGGAAACGGTAGAGCTCATTTAGATGAAGTAGAAGAATCTGAAGGAAGCACTCGTCCTCACCGCGTATGCGTGCAGCAAAGCTCGACGGGTGAGTTGGCGGTTAAAAGAAAGAGAAAAAAAAAGTCTCTCTGGAGCAAAATTCTCCGCCCGTCCATCATCCATTGTTCAAATGTTTATGTTCGAGTGGTCTCTGACTGCAGTGTTTCTTCCCTCGTAGGCTCCCGAGCAGCTATACAGGAAACACACAGTGTAAACACAGGGCTCAGGAGATCCTCTCTCGCCCTGCCTGTGAGCTGCAGAACCTCAATGTCAACTCATAGAGACACCGGCTGACGGTCACCATTGTCGCAGTTCAGCTAACGTTGATACTAGAAGCAAAGCGATTGGGACTTCTTTGGTTTTTTGGAAGGTTTTCACACGGCTACAGGAAGGTCAGGGGATCGCTGACGTCGTTTGGATTAATCGTGTGCAAAAATGTATTAATCCATCTTTTAGGTGTTCAGATATCTCATATCTCTTTTGATGCTGCTATAGGAAGAGTCATTAGGTTTCATTGTGGTGGCATCGTGAACGTCATATATAGATATTTAGATAAGTGATGGAGTGACCAACATTAGACAAAGAGTTCTACAGTCCATTTGTGTCTTTCATTTACTTTCAGGAGTCCGCCGTACTCAATTGAAAAAAAGGGGGGGAAACACAATATCGCAGGATTATTGCTTAA